GATGAGGTCAACAGAAAAAAAGGGAGATGTTTAGTAATTAAAGAATTCTTCATTCCATCCTGGAGCTCTCGTAGCTTCCATGCAAGAAGAGTGGTTATGTGTGAGTTGGAAAAGCCACATGACTGAAAGAGGAAGTTTTAGCTACCACTGCCAGTGACATCATCACTCTTCTGCAGGCATAACTTACACAACAGGATTTTGGCTGATTTATTTGATTTAGCAGCAAGCAAGGGCCATATTCCCTCAGATGTTATTGCTGGTGGGACACATGCTACTGAGAAGAGAGGTGAAGGTAAGACACATGCCCTTCCTTCTCTGAATTACCTTCCTCCAAACTTTTTCCTTCTCTTAAGAGAAAAGAGTTGTAGGTGGTGATCTCATGCACACAGACATTCTCTCACAATCATGGTGACACACAAAACCCTTCCAATCCATTTACTTCGGTCTCTCTAGCCCTTGCTGTGAAAAACAGCTGATCCAGGAAGGAAGAAGGTGTGTCAGGAGGTGCAAGGATGACCCATTGCCCATTTTGAGTTAGCTAGGCATCTGGACAACTATGTTCAGAGATCAGAGCAAATGCCAGGTAGACTAGACCCAATGCCTCCAAGCCCGAGATGACATTCAGAAATGTCCCTGCCAGCCATTCCGTGGGATTTACCACCAATTTCTTCTCGTAAGCTTCTTGCATATTCGTCTCAGAGTCTGCTGGCCACAGCAGAGTCAAGCTTGCCAACTCATCCACTTGAAGGAAATCTTCTTGCTGTGAAGAAGAAGCCAATGTTTAGACCTGGGAAGGCATCTTTCCTTCAAATGGTCTGACTGACGTGCAGACACATGTTACCTTGAGCTCGGAATGGCTGTTGGATATTTAAATGGTGTTGTTGACGCTTTCGTGTCTGTGAAGAGGCTGTAGGGAAACCTGGGTCTCTTCCCTTAGAAATAAGTAAATCCTTTTCCCCTGCTTCCACATCTCAGTGGCCTCTTCTCCTCTGGGAAGTGCATAATATGCAGAATCCAGCTGGCGCAGTGCCATGCCGCTGGGTTTTAGTGATGGGGAGATTACTTGTTCAAAAGATGTATACACCACCCTTCAAGTGGAACATACGCAAGTACGAGAAAACCCACAGAATTCTATATAAAAATAGTTTGAAAACTACTTTGAAAAAACTTGAGGAATGAAACACGGGGCCAAAGAGACATTGGAGATGGTACCAGTCAAGCCCGTCCATACATTAAATCCGATTTATGAGGTTCTACCCTGATGTTAGGAAAGTGTGAAGGCAAGAGGAGAAGGTGGTTGGACAGTGTCATCGAAGTGACCAACATGAATTTGACCCAACTCCAGGAGGCCGTGGAAGACAGGAGGGCCCGGCGTGCTCTGGTCCATGGGGTCACGAAGAGTCGGGCACGACTTAACAACTAAACAACAAAAAACCACTGGTAAGTTCCTCCTGAATCACAACTTTCTTCCCCAAGATGGTAGGGGGTGCATGGAGATGACTCTATGATGACCTCTGTGGATGGGAGGATTGGCATGGAAGCTGGTGTTTCTTCCATAAGCTGAGCCCTAAATTGTCTAGTCCTTAGCTGACCACCTACACTCTACCTACTCCTGAGTCAATGGAGGAGGAATAAAGTAATCACTGCAACCTTCCTGTCAGAACTCAACTTTGCATCTAATGAAACAGCAATTCTGGACATCTTCCCTTCCCCCCATATTGTATGTCTGTTATGAACATAAACCCTTTGCGCCACGTTCCCTTTGTAAGCTGTGGTGTAGTGTTCATCTCGATGTTTCATCAAGTCCACCCCAGTCCAAAATGCAGGCCACTGAATTGATCCATATCAGACACGACTAAATGACTAAACGAATGAATTTTGTGAAGTTAATGGCTCTTCATTGCCTTTTCAAGATAAGGCCACCTTCAACTATGTACTGTCCCCTAGAAAAATGTTTTATCTCCCAACTACTCTCAGAAGTGTAGCTAAACCCACAGGAAACAGGCAACCCTTGAAGGGGTAGATAATATACTCTCTACCAACATCCCACGGCCTTGCTGTGTGGGAGAGAGACTTGACACTAAAAGACGGTACTAGTCCATCATATGCCAGCAGAGACTTTCCATAATGTTAGTTTTAGCCAAATGTCCCATCATAGCGTGGAATTAAATCATTTGCTTTTTCAAAATATAAAACATCCAAGCAGAAGGAAAACAGATCCAACAGGGCTACTCTCTACCAACATCCCACGGCCTTGCTGTGTGGGAGAGAGACTTGACACTAAAAGACGGTACTAGTCCATCATATGCCAGCAGAGACTTTCCATAATGTTAGTTTTAGCCAAATGTCCCATCATAGCGTGGAATTAAATCATTTGCTTTTTCAAAATATAAAACATCCAAGCAGAAGGAAAACAGATCCAACAGGGCCATGATCCACACCAACAGCCAGCGCAAAATTACTGTAAGCATTCATATCAGCACTGAAAAAAATCTGGTTGGCTGTTGCTATTTTGATGTTTTATCCCTCTCTCCATTTCTGATGTTCAGGTGGCAAGGGGTACTCTTTGTGACCCCATGGACCAGAGCACGCCAGACCCTCCTGTCTTCCACTGCCTCCCGGAGTTGGGTCAAAGTCATGCTGGTCACTTTGATGACGCTGTCCAACCATCTCGTCCTCTGTCATCCCCTTCTCCTCTTGCCCTCACACTTTCCCAACATCAGGGTCTTTTCCAGGGAGGCTTCTCTTCTCATGAGATGGCCAAAGGACTGGAGCCTCAGCTTCAGGATATTTAGGGTATTGCTTAAGCAAAGTCAAAATGGCACTCATAGGGACAAACATGGAAGCCGCCAGCAGGCTTGGGGCAACTCAAAGGCTTATAGTAGAAGAAGAAAAAAGGGGAATAAACTCTAAAGGTGGGGAGAAGCCCCAAATGCCCCAAAGAGTGAGCACGCTCAGGAGCTATTGAATGTAGGTAATTGTGAGGTGCAAAGGGGAGGGAGAAAATCAAATTAGGACTGGGGTGTGTGTGGAATGAATTTAGGCAAAACCCTGAACAGGAAGCACTCCCTCCTCAACAGGAACATAGTGTACAGCAACATGTTGCTGAATTTCCCACTTGAACGATTGCAGACACTATTGATAGCTGTAAATCTCAAGAGGAGGAAGTCTCTATTGGGATCGGAAGAGAAGAATTTGGCTCCAATTTTGAATTGAGCCAAAGCTTTGGAAAGATTTCTAAGTGTCCCTCACTCAGTATTCCACCATCAAGAGTGGTGTGTCCCATACCAACTTCTGGATGATCGCCTTGAAGTTTTCTCCCACTCGCTCTGGTCCCTCCAGGAGTAATAAGACTTCTCTGTCCAGTGATTCATCCAACGCACATCTTTCAGTTCCAGAGACCTTAAAAAATATTTCATTATTTATTGACTGAAAATATTTTCATCACACCTTTCTCTTTCAAAAGGACCCTAGGCAGCTTACATCACTGAAAAGACAATATTTATAAGCGAAAAACAGCAAGTACAGTGGTGCCCCGCATGACGACGATAATCCGTCCCGTGAAAATCGAGTGTTTAGCGAAATAGTCGTCATGCAAAAACCCTTTCCCCATTGGAATGCATTGAAACCCAGTTTAATGCGTTCTAATGGGAAAAATACCTCGTTGTCCAGCGAAGATCGCCCATAGCGAAGCCATTTGGTGAGCGTGATCAGCTATAAAATGGCTGCCTTGTGAAGCATGGGTCCGGAAAACACAGGGCAGCCATTTTGCGAAGCTGAAAAAATCGTCATCTTGCGAACAAACAGTTCGTGAAGCACAGACCTAATTGTCCTTAAGTGAAAATCGCCCATAGGAATGACTGTTTTGCGAATCGCTATAGCGATCGCAAAAAGTCATCGTCATGCAGATTCGTCGTTTAGTGGGGTTGTCATTTAGCGAGGTACCACTGTATATGGATATTAAAAAAGAATGAAACAAGTTTTATATTTAAAGTGGAAAATAAAATAAAGGTCAACAAACTCTACCCAGCCACAAGGAACAATGATCACTGTACCCAAAAGACCAGCTAACGACACCCATCAATCACAGTGACAGATCATATCTCTCCCTTATCACAACAATACACCCACAACAAAAAAAACCCGCTGATCACCATCATCACCCAGTCTCCTGAAAAGGACAAAAAGCTGATTACACAGCTATAAATATTCAGCTATCCAAACAAATTGCACCAGAGTACAGAGAGAATTTATTTATTTATTTATTTATTTATTGGACTTATATACCGCCCCATAGCGCTACAAGCACTCTCCGGGCGGTTTACAATTTTTAATTATACAGGCTACACATTGCCCCCCCAGCAAGCTGGGTACTCATTTTACCGACCTCGGAAGGATGGAAGGCTGAGTCAACCTTGAGCCGGCTACCTGGGATTTGAACCCCAGGTCGTGAGCACAGTTTTAGCTGCAGTACAGCGTTTTAACCACTGCGCCACGAGGCTCTCTGATTCCTTTCCTCTGAAGATGCCGGCCACAGAGACTGGTGAAATGTTAGGAAGAACAACCCTCAGAACACGGCCAAACACCCTGAAAAACCTACAAAAACCATCGGATTCCAGCCATGAAAGCCTTTGAGAATACAAATAAAATAAATATTCATAAAGATTTAACAACAATCCATTTCAAAACCCCTCTCAAAACAAAATAGAACCAAAGAACAGCCATATTTTGTGATGGACTCTACCCTGGCCTTTTCAACTGTGATGAAGAAATAGAAAAGGCATTGCAAGGCACATAGCTAAAAACTAAATACACGTTGGAAAATGGCATTCTCTGTGACAGGATCTGTGCCTACGAAATTTCTCCATGCCCAGATCTGGGGAAAGTAGCCACACTGATCAGGGAATAATTTGTTTATTTTATTTATTTACAATATTTTAATCTCATTTGTTTCTCCTAAATAAAGGACCCAAGGCAGCTTACGTCATTAAAAGCACAACACTAAAAGCTAAAAACAGTAAGTTATTCAAACATGAAAGAAGAATTCGTAGCCTATTTAAAATGTTAGGTAAAAGCATTTTTTAAACAGATTTAAAAACAACAAAGTATAAACTATCCTATTTATTGTTTCCTTGGACAGTCAGCCACTAAGGAAAAAGTTTGCCTAAAGAGATAATGGGAGTTGTGGTCAAAAAAATGAATAAATTTTCCAAGCTCTGGGGATAGGGATTATGGGTCTGTGCCAAAGGCATTGACGATCCCGGTCTCTTCTCTCACTCAGTTTTTTAATAGAGCGCAAATTCATGGATGAAAAAAATAAGCAAGGAGGTATAGCAAAGCTAAAGTCTGAGTCAATATGCAAATTTCTTCTGCTGTGAATGTCAGTCCTTCTCCTAAATTTGTTAGCTCAGGTTTTAATATTATACCAGCAATGTTTACCCATGGGAAACATGTAAGGAATACTTGGTATTTTTACTAGCAGCATGCACAGAAGCCTATCCACTTAGGATAGTGCAGGAGGAAAGAATGTAAAACTTATTTACAAGAGCGCATACTGTCCTTGTCTACCTCTAACGCAAAAGGGGAGGGATAAGAAACAGAAATAGGAAGTGACAGCAAAAGAACAGAGAGCCTGGGAGAATCAATCCGCATGCAGATTTAGAGAAGACAAGAGGAGAGACCACCCAGGCTATCCATCTTTTTATTGACCTCCCTTTGAACAGAAGAGTTGGAAGGAACCCTACGGATCATTAAATCCAGCCCTACTCTCAAGGAGACACAGTAGGGAACTGAACTCCCAGCCTCCGTGACTTACAATAAGCCACTGAGCTATCTAGCAGTTCTTACACTGACACAGAATGGTTCAGATGACTTGCAAAATGCAGGGGTGTTTTTTTCCCCAACATGTCCTGAGCAAAGCACATAATCAGAGGCTCTGGATAGGAAAACGGGAAGGAACCTGCTTTGATGCAACCCACAAATGTGATAATCAAGGCTGTGCTTCTGTTTTCCCCTCCTCCAGCGAAAAGCCACTCACCTCTGGCTGTCGTTGAGCCAGTTCCAGTTCCCAGTGTAAGGAATTGGTCCCGTCAAGGATGCTGCTATTCAGCTTGTATATCAAGGGAAAGTTTATTCCATTCCTAGCAAATGAGATTTTAAAAGTTGAATATCTGTAACTGCTATTAAGAGAATCAAATCTTCTCCCCTACCCCGGAACCAGAAATACTCACGAGATCAGCTCCTGTTGCATGTGCTGAACATTATTCATCAATTTATTCTTCTCTACGCGCAAAATCTAGAAGTCACACCCAAAACAAGGCTCTTTTAATGCAGATATCTACAAATGAAGAATGGGCAGCCCCATTCCCCCCCCAACTATGATTACTGTTGCAATCATACCTCTATAACTGATGTGTATTCCTTAAGGGTAGACTTCATTTCCTGGATATCCAAATCCTTCTGCAAAAGTTGGAGTTTTAGAATCAGAAAGAATCAGATCAGAAGAAAATTTAAAAGGCACTTAATTATTTTCTGAAGCTTCTTTGTTGTTGTTGCTGTTCAGAATATCAGATGGATTGCATTTCGGACTTTGCAAAATGAGGAATAGATCTTTTCAACCGTTAAATTTGTTGGGGATTCCAATGGTCGGGAGATGTTTTCTTAAAAGATCACCAACAGCATTTGATGACTGATGGACACTGGTGTTGCAGGTAGCTCATTTTGGTAATAAAAGTTGGGCAACTAAAATGCAACTTGGAGTTGGCTCAGAACCTTGAATGATCTGACTTCCCCTGTGCTAGCCCCTCAGCCTAACAAGTACAGTAGTAACCCATATCTGTGAGTATCCACTGATTCACTTATCCACGGTCTGAAAATATTAAACCAAAAATCCCAGAAATATATATATATATATCTATATTGTTCCCACTAAAAGGAACTAGAAATCATTCTAGCATTCACAATAATCTGCATTTTTCAGCATCTGCAATGGGGCTTGGAACCAATCCCTGTGGATATGGGGGGGGGGTCCTACTGTATTACCAAAATGCTAATGGTTTCCAGGAGTTATTTGTAGTCCAAAGGCTTGCTCTCTAAAAGCTTAGCCCACACAGTGCTTCCTACTACTTGGGCTGGTCCAAATGGCAGCAAGCAAACCATCTTCACTAGAGACGTACGTGCAACGTTTCTCATGGTTGCCAATTTCCCACGTTTCACATGCCAGGACTGCATCAGAGAGACTTCCCAGCTTTCAAAGAAAATAGACAACCCAGTGACGTCCGACTCTTCTGCTTGTTTTGTTTCCCACCTGTTCAGTGCAGAATGGGGCTAAATTCTGTGCAACTTAATGCCCTGCCCAATGGATCCTGCACAGGAAAGATTCACATCATCCTCATCGTCAATGAACTGCAAAGCTAGAAGGGACACTATAGATCATCAAGTCCAGCCTCGCCCAGTGGGGAATCAAACTCCCAACCTCTGGCTCTGCAGCCAGGGACCTAAACCACTGAGCAGGTGTGGAGCATGTAGCCCTACAGATGTTGCTGCGTTGCAGTTGTGTGCAATTTGCCAATATCGTGAAGTGGCTCATCTATTAAGCCACTTCATGACACTGGAAATTCAAAGCTGAAAGAGCTTTGGCAACGTTGAGAGCTGCAAGGCTCCATTTGGGTCCATTCCCAGAAATGTCCCATGCTGGAAATAGACCAAACTAATGTGCACCAACCAACACGCAAAAAGCAGAATCTCGAGTCCCTGACGGGGATTCAAAAAGGTGAAGGAAGGGTGATCTGGGGACAGACTGATTCAGTCTAGTGATCAGGTCTAGAGATGGGGCCCCCCACTTTGAGAGAGGCAGTGCTCAGACTTCCCTGCCCCCTACCTCCTCCAGGCACTGAATTTGAGCGGGCACTTGCCAGAGAAGCACCAAACACCTGTCCATGCCCATCTCTAACCAGGTCAACTGATCGCTGGAAAAAAGAGCGAACCAACACGTCCCTGTAGTGTACCAAACAGTGGCACAAATGCTAGGCTAATCAAGCCCTCAATTTCAGATCATCACATGCAAGGGTGCATGGACCATACCTGTGTTCACCCAACACCTGGCAGTTACGGTATACACCTGCCTGAACTCCAAAGTTTATTTCGCTAATACGGCCAGTTCAGCAGGAAATGCACCCTTTAGTACAAGAATGACAGGGGACAAAGCAAACATAGGCTCTGGAACACACACCCTGACTTGCATACTGAGAAGAATAAATTGTACAAAGCAGGGCACATCAGCATTAACAGTGACATCTCTGTGATGTTAAAGCCACTTTTTTTTATAGAACATTCAAATAAACTGCAGGTGTTTGCACCAGGAGGTGGCAAACTTATGCAAATCGGAAGAGTAAGCTCGAGGATTCAAAAGGCCATACACGTTTGCGAGTAGAGAGAGTTCCAAAGGCAATGTTGAATGTTCTCTCCCTGAATTTCCAGGCCCAAGGGTTTCTCAATAACAAGGACAGAAAAGTATGATCTAGCGCAGTGGTCCCCAACCTTGGGCCTCCAGATGTTCTTGGACTTCGATTCCCAGAAATCCTGGCCAGCAGAGGTGGGGGTGAAGGCTTCCGGGAGATGTAGTCCAAGAACATCTGGAGCCCCGAGGTTGAGGACCACTGACCTAGCGTGCAGTTTCCTGCAGCAGTCTAGGCCTTCCCCTTGGATTGCCCTGCCCTGAGTTCCAAACACTGTCTTGGGCACTAAAGTCAATTTGTGAGCAGCGCTGGTAACCAGAAGGAGGTAGTCACCTCATACAGCAGAATACAGAGGGTAGAGGTAGAGCAGATAATTCCCAACCGTTCATCACCACCACCTGATTCTGTTTTTCTTCAACCACTTAAAAGAACAATAATTGCATCTTTTAAAATATTTAACCCCGGGGTGCAGTGTTTAAACTGCAGTACTGCAGCCAAGCCTCTCCTTATGACCTGAGTTCAATCTTGACTCAGCCTCCCATCCTTCCAAAGTCAGTAAAATGGGTCCCCAGCAAAGAGTTATTTGCATAATTATGTTGAGGGGCTCTAGCACTACGGGGCGGAATATACAGTGGTGCCTCGCTAGACGATGATAATCCGTTCCACTGAAATCGCTGTCTAGCGAAATCATTGTCTAGTGAAAAGAATAGTTGTCTAGCGAAAATTGGTTTGCGAAGCAGGGACCAAACATTGTCCAGTGAAATTCCCCCATAGGAACCACTGCTTTGCGAATTGCTATAGTGATCGCAAAAAGTCAATTTCTAGTGAAAAAACTGCCATGCGGGGTAACTGTCTAGCGAGGCACCACTGTCAGTCGAAACAACAACAATAAATTTTGTGTCCCAAAAGAAAATATTCCATAGTTAGGCCAAGAGCCACCAAAATGCTTGAGAGAAGAAAGAAACCTTCGCACAGTTTGGTGAAGCCTCCACATGGCCTCATTAAAATGGAACAGCTAATGTCAGTTAATGGAGTTCAACATATTTCTGTTCTGGGAGCGACCAACCAAAATCAAACAAGATTAGTAAGAACTTTTAGTAGCACCATTATCAGCTCAAAGTGCTTCATCTCTCAGTGGAAGGACACCCTCTATAGTCAACAAGCAGCTAATGCAGCACATTTGAGGATCCAACATATTTCATAACTTTTACTAAGGAATCTGTTTCCTCAATTTTTGTTGGCTTTGGAGGGGTTTTGGGTGGGGTGGAAACGGAAGGGAACTAGAATTCCAGCCATAATTTAACCCTCTTTAAACGGTAATTAATAACTGCCATTATGAACTGGCTCTGCTTCAAACGATACATGTCTCATCCTGGTGCTTCAATTATCTCAGTTTGGCAGAATTCTCCCGGCAACGATTTACACAAGCCTCAAAAGAGCACAATTCCTCTCTAAAACAAATCACCTGTTCCTAGAGCACCTTTTTGTAGCATAAAAATGCGCCTCTTTTAAAAAAAATGTGGCATTGTCACAATTCAGTGCATTAAGTTCAAGAACGGGACTACAAAAATGGCAAACAGGCCACATGCAGCCTACTTAATTGACTATTTCTCACCAAAGAGAGAGTGTTTTGGTAAATCTTGTGTTCTCTTTTGAGGTTTAGATCTGACTCTTTCACATGTTATTGACTACAGTCTGTTTTGTTTTTATGCTCAAATTCTTTAAGATCCGAACCTAAAGACATTTAGTAAATCCTTATTAAAATATCCTGAAATGAACACCTCAGTTTTCCTTCAATACAGATCAGTAACTACTAGCAGCCTAACTTGCAGTAGCATAGTTTAGGACCATCGCTGCTCAGAAAATATCTTTTGGGGGGCAATTACAGCTCACAAATCTCAGACCTAGTATGATCCATATTGGGCTGCATGACTGAGATCTGAAGTCCCAAAAAAAGTAGTTATTCCGAGTTTAGGAGCTTCTGCATCCAAAGTTGCAAAACTTTAGAGGGTCCAAACAGTTGCTACCCATTTCACATGCTCCTCCCAATCTACATGATCAAAGGTTGGCCACATCAGGTAAAGGTAAAGCTTCCCCTTGACATTTAGTCCAGTCGTGTCCGACTCTAGGGCGCGGTGCTTATCCCCATTTCCAAGCCATAGAGCCAGCCTTTCTCCGAAAGATCACGTGGCCAGCACAACTAGACATGGAATACTGTTACCTTCCCACCGTGGTGGTACCTATTTATCGACTCGCATTTTTACATGCTTTTGAATGGCTAGGTTGGCAGGAGCTGGGACAAGCGAGGGGAGCTCCCTCCGTCATGTGGATTCGATCTTACGATGGCTGGTCTTCTGACCCTGCAGCACAGAGGCTTCTGCAGTTTAACCTGCAGCGCCACCACAAGGGAGGCTAGAAAATGTGTCAATGGGGAACCAAGCCTTCTTGATGGTGGCTCCTATTCCGTAGAACAAATTTCCAACTAAAGTACACCAGGCTGATATTTAGGAAACTGGTAAAGTCTATAAAGCAGTCTTTAAGAACACAGTATGTTTGGGTTGGTGTATCACCATATGGATTGTGTTATTATATGGAGGTGGTGCTGGGGATGGGTTTTTAAAATGCCTTATCATGGAAACTATCCAGGGTAATGGATGTTCACTAATGGGGTGGTATATAAACCAAATCAATAACTAAAAATGAACCCTGTTTCCAGCAGCTGCTCACCAGTCCAGAGGAAACACAAGCCATAGGGACACTCATCATGAAACCAACAGAGCCTTCTCTATTGCTACGTCCCATTCTTGTATATTCCAATCACACATGACTCAAAGTTAAGTAACCAGGCAGCAAAACCCTGGGAATCAAAGTTGCTAGTTACAGCTCTGTCTGCTTCTATTATTGCTACTCCCATAAGCGTTCTGATAAGGAGAAACAGCTATCAGTAATTCAAATCATTACAATTAATCTATTGTGCTCTATTCTCCCAAGAGTCCCTTAAGGATTTATTCTCATACACATCAGGGGAAGTATCTCTCTAGCTGTTACGTCTGTGCAGCATCACGACAGTCACTAACCTTCTGGAGGGCAGCATCCTTACTCCCCATCATGTTCTCATACAGATGTACTTGCACCTTGGCGGGAAGCAACAAATAAAGACATGATTAACTGGCATTTCTGACCTTGATGCAAAAACCAGCAGCATCCAAGAGCCATTAAGAACATTACAGACAGCATTCAGATTATTTTAGTTAAAATCACATTCACGTTCCGCAGGGATCCCTCCAACAAATGTCTGTGACTGAACAATCAGGCTTGCAAGCAAATCCTCTGTTTTCGTTGAGAAGACCAATTTAAAACAAGAAAACAAAGTAACTGGCAAGCTGCAAGAGGTGTGAAATGCTCCTGCTGTGACAATCAGCTGCATTTAGTACTTAAGAAATTACCTTTTCTACTTACGTGCTCTCTATAATGTATAGTTGGCCCTGAAATAGGATGATCAACAAGAAACTGAAAGTTACCAAGCTAGATGTGAACAGGAAGATAGTTCCTGCATCTAATGAAGGAGCTGTGAGAACAGGAGTAAAGACTCTACCAAGGGGGCAAATCTGTGGCACTTTCAGATGTCTTGAACTTCAACTCCCAGAATCCCCAGGCTCTATTGCCAATGATGGACTATGAGAACTGTAATCCAAAATATCTAATGCACGAAAGGTTAGCCACCCCTGCTAGGCCATGTTACCAAGTTAGACAAAGTACGTATTTCCCACCGGGACTAGTTTACTATAATCATCATCATCATCATCATCATCATCATCATCATCATCATCATCATCATCATCATCATCATCATAGAACTGCAGAGCTGGGAGGGACCCTATGGATCATCGAGTCCAGCTCCTGTCAAAGAGGCAAAGTGAGGAATCAAACTCCCAGCAACGTAAAGCATGGATCTCTCCAGCAATTGTCAATGAAACGCGAATGTTTGTGTTAGTATCTTTGAGTCTCAGCAGAGCTAAAATATGAGGGGATCAGCTTTTAACCAGCAAAAAGACACTGATGATTGTCAGCTATCATCTGAGACATTGAGACATTAAGTAAAACAAAATATTTCAATGTGTCTGCTATCAGAGCTTTGCTTCTCCGGCCAAACAAAAATCCACTAGGTTCTGGCACAGTTCCCTTTTCAATGATCTGCAAAGGAAAAACTTCAACAGGTTGTTTTTCCTTTTTTTAAATTGTTTTTCTGACAATGGCTGCTTGTATTACAATCTTCTGTTATCACCATCATTATCACCTAAATCAGTGGTTCTCCATTTTTTGGCTCTCTTGATATTTTTTACTTCAGGTTTCTAAATTCCTGATGGCTGAAGTTCAAAACATACAGAGAGTGAAAGGCTGAAAACCACAGGTTAATCTTGCATTTGTATAGAGTTTTGTAATCTCGCTAGACTGCAGCCTCTCCCAACATGGTGTACCGTCTAACTGTGTTGTACTACTTGCTGAGGACAACCAACATTATAGATCAATCCTTCTGAAGGGTATCAGACGGGACGATGCACATTGTATTTATTTTCTATTCTGTCATTAGCCATTTTGCCCAGAGCAGCAGGCCAAAAATCGCATTTAGTTTAAAAAGAGCAAATATTCTGCTGCCAGAAGGGCCAAAATCCTGTGACTCAGCATAGTAAACCACATTTGAGCAGCCCCATTGAATCAATGGGGGGTGGAGGGTCAACTCCTCTGTAAGTTCCATTGACTCTAATGGACCTGCTCCAACCGATTTACCTCAGCACAGTAAGTTAGAGTAAGCTCATTTTAATTAATGGAACTTGCAGAGGAATTGACTCACTAAATCCCAATTGATTCAATAGGCCTACTGTAGCCTATTTAGTACACTAAGCAACAGGATTTTAGCTAAATTTTCACATCAAAATTGCTAAAGTACAACTTAGGGGAACTAATGTGAATCAGCTCTAACCGTGAGATGCCTCATGAATGGATGGCATTCCATCCATTCCAAAGAGGATATATCTTAGAGATATGTTAACAAATGCAATTTTAATTGAGTGGCTATTCTAGAGAAAAGGGAATTACAATGGTAGACTTAAGAAGACAGCAGAAATTGGCTACATAAACAAGTTTCATTGCACCTCTTAGGGCCTCAATAGAGATCAAGGCTTCCTAGTACACTACATACATTAATAACCCAGTTTTCTGTAATATCATATGGGTATAACTGTTGACATTTGTCCAGAAATATCCCCATTCTAATGTTTGAGGACGTGGCCTTTGATCCACAGAAGTTTGTAGTGAAAGAAAATTATTAGTCTTTAAAGTGCTACAATATTTTAGTTTTGATTCCTTTCCCCTCCTTTTCTTTAGCTAACTTGTAAATTTATGACTCTGGTTTATTAGACTCAGGAGGTCAATTTTAAAAAGACTGCTTCCAGCTTAGGTTCCTTTAACAATTAACTACCGAGCAACTTCGCAATGTAGAATCCACTTACGTGAAGTTCAGCAATATTTCTGGACAACTCCACAATCTTCTTCTCAAGACCGTCTGAATCCAGAGCATTCCTAATATTCTGGATGAAAGTGAGCACAATTTATTAGACACCACACAACTAAGAAGCAAATTTAACCAGCATATCTCTTGAGAGTCCCCTGGACTCCAAAGAGAACAAATCTATCCATTTTGAAGGAAATCAACCCTGAGTGCTCACTGAAGCTGAGGCTCCAATCCTTTGGCCATCTCATGAGAAGAGAAGACTCCCTGGAAAAGACCCTGATGTTGGGAAACTGTGAAGGCAAGAGGAGAAGGGGATGACAGAGGATGAGATGGTTGGACAGTGTCATCGAAGCGACCAACATGAATTTGACCCAACTCCGGGAGGCAGTGGAAGACAGGAGGGCCTGGCGTGCTCTGGTCCGTGGGGTCACGAAGAGGCAGACACGACTAAACGACTAAACAATAAAACCAGCATATAAAATGGGCCACTGAGAATTAACACAGAAATGATTACACACTTACTTCCTCTTGGAGGGATGAGATCTTGAGAACAAGAGTCTGGTTCTCTTTTTCCTGAAATAAAAAGGAAATGTGGGGACAGAGGGGGGCAAAAGATGGGGTGGAAAGATGGTTTGAAGAGATGCAGCCAGCATACTGTCAAGGACAACACATATAGCTCTCATATGGGTATCAAGTACAATACTGTATTCCCAGGTCTTGTGCCCTGACTCTTCCTATAGAATACTGACATTCTGTCCATCAGAAAGAGTCATAATCTGTGGTCTCTACTACAAGGTTTTCCTTTCGACACTGGCCACCCTGTTCTAACTTTAAAAATGAATATTTAAATAGATTGAATGTTCATATAAAATTAAAATATGAAATATTAAAATTCTCCACCAGCTATGGAGAGGACAAAAACCACCCAACTTGCTGAATGGCTGAGTGCTGAGTGTCTCCCACCAGGACAAGATTCTAGCTGGACCGTCTGGAAGTCACTCAATAGACTCTGAAGGGAAGCAGGAAGATCAGAGAATAATCAGAGAAAATGGGGGTTCTTGGATATAAGGGAAACCTTCTGTGACTGTGGAGAAATACAATCAATGCAGCCCTTTTGTGCATGCGGTTCATGTCCCACCACATGCACGAAAGAAGATCTATCAAATGGCCAAGAGAAGGCTATTGAAGTAGCCGCTTCTAGTCAGAAAGAGTCTAGTCCTCTTAACATTTTAATTTGTTTTAAATTGAACAGTGGTGCCTCGCTTGACGACATTAATTTGTTCCAGCGAAATCGCTGTAGAGCAAAAACGTTGTAAAGCGAAATAAAAAAGCCAATTGAAACACATTTAAAACCATTCAATGCGTTCCAATGGGCTGAATAACTCACTGTCCAGCGAAGATCCTCCATAGGGGCGGCCATTTTCGGTGCCTGTATAGCGAGGAATCCATCCAAAAACACAGCGGGGAGCCATTTTGAGCAGCTGGCGGCCATTTTGAAAACCCAACGATCAGCTGTTTTGACCGTCGTAATGCGAAAAATCAGTTCCCGAAGCAGGGAACCAATCATCGCAAAGTGAAAAAAAAACCATTAAAATATCGTTTTGCAATTGCAATTCGCAAAAACATCGTCGTGAAGCGGATTCGTCGTTATACGAGGTAATCATTAAGCGGGGCACGACTGTACATAGATTTCACATACATCCATACTTTTAAATTGTGCAATGCTCTGATACGAAGAAAGAAAGAAAGAAAGAAAGAAAGAAAGAAAGAAAGAAAGAAAGAAAGAAAGAAAGAAAGAAAGAAAGAAAATGAAATGCTGGGTTCTTCTCCAAGAAATGATAGAACAGTATAGATCAGCTTAGCGCAATCATTTCCGTATCAGCCAGTGACTGGAGCATCTGGCTGCCAAGCCAGGGCTGAGAGTTTGATCCCCCACTGTGCCTCCATAGAGGAGGGCCAGCTGATCAGATATTTTGTCCTGCCATCTGGATGGCCTTGGGCAAGTTGCACATTCTCAGAGTGCCACCAGAAGGCAAGACTAGTAAAACACTCCTGAGTAATTTATACCTAACTCCCCCACTTGTTTTACACACTTCAAGAACAGCTACAGGGCAAACATTTTATCTGCTCCATGCCTCTGGGTCGTAAAATAAATGGGCTCGTACAACAAACATCTATGTCTTCAAACCACCTACCAGCTGTTTATTCTGGGCTTCCACCTTTAGCCTTTGTTCTTCAGAAGTGTTGAGGTTGTTCTTTGCTTCTTCCAGCTCCTCTTTCAAAGTTTTCACTCGAGCCACAGACTGCTGGAAACTGAGAACAGCCGCAACCACCAAGACAGTTAGGAGCAAAAACAGTTCGGCTGTCATGCATCAACTTGATCAAATAGCTTTTACACAGGTTTTCACAGGGTTTCCATTTTCAGATTCTTGTAAATAACGACAAATGCCTTCAGCCTTTCTACTTAAATTTAACCAATCATGGCCACTGGTTAAACAGCAGTACTGGAGTCAAGACTCTGTTCACACCCTGAGTTGAATCCCAATGGATTCAGGTAGCTGGCTCAAGGTTGACTCAGCCTTCCATCCATCAGTCAACTGAGTAACCAGCTCACTGGGAGGACAGTGGGTGTAGCCTACTAACCACCCAGATAATGCTTTAAGCACTATGAGATGGTATATAAGCAGCACACATTGCTTTTTAAAATTTTTTTCCACTTTGCTTTGCTTTGAATTGCAGCAACTGCTTCTAGGATCAATGTGAGATCTTTCCTTGTAACTACCGTGCTATTTAGGGATGGCCATTGATAAAGCTGTGATGGGTGCTGGAAGAGAGAGCAATAAGCAATCTTCTACAGTGATGGAGAGCAACAGCAGGGCTATTATGCTGAAATTTAACACAATTCCCTGAGTCCAACGGTAGGGACCACACAGCCTTCCAGATTATCTCCTGCAAATTTCATCTGATTTAGTCAATGCAGTCAACGGTGAGGCATTCTGGAAGATGTTCCTCAGCTACAGCTATTAATGAGTCATGATCAGAACTTGAAAACATTATTGATGGTGGTGTACAACTGTTTCTGGAGCTGAAAATTTATAAAGCAGTTTTTTCCTTCACTAGCTCAAACTCTGATTTGCTATCTAGTTTAAGAGCTTGATTTTGTGTAGGCAAAGGTGGCATATAAATAGAATACAATTGTGCCCCGCTTAATGATTGCCCTGCATTACGATGAACCCACTTTATGACGATGTTTTTAATGGGGTTTTTTTGCTTTGCAAACATCAGTTCCCTGCTTCAGGAACCGATTCTTCGCATTACGCCGATCAAAACAGCTGATCGTCGGGTTTTCAAAATGGTCACCGGGTGCTCAAAACCACTCCCCACTGTGCTTAGGGATGGATTCCTCACTTTACAGGCAGCGAAAATGGCCAGCCCTATGGAGGATCTTCGCTGGACGGTGAGTTTTAGCCCATTGGAATGCATTAACCGGGTTTTAATGCATTTAAATGGGTTTTTTATTTTTGCTTTACGATGTTTTCACTCTACTGCGATTTCGCTGGAATGAATTAATGTCATTAAGCGAGGCACCACTGTAAATACATAAACATGGAGGCAAAGGTAATATATGGCAGAGATATGACATTGTCTGCTTGGACATATATGCAAATCTAATATTACAGCTTGAAACACTCCAATGAGCCCATTAAACCCACGTGGAATTAGAAATTAAGTGATTATAAAAGGGTGCCTAAATCAACTCCCGATCCAAACTGTGAAAGACTTAACTCAAATTCAAGGCCTTCCACCTTTTAATCTGATTGCGCAAGTCTCCGTTGTCTTCCGTTAGCCTGTTGTTGGTCTCCTCCATGACATCCAAAGCCAGCTTCAACTGGCTGTTCTCCTCCTGAAGCTTTTGGTTGTTGAACTGAAGGTCTGCTACGCAAGTGATCAAATCGGAGGCTTCCCTGGAGGCACAGAGAATGAATGGAAGACATAAATGAATGGCCATGTCGGCCTTCTTCATGTTTGGAAAGTGGAGAGAGTCAAAGAAAATTCTATTCACTTAATAGCAATTAAAAAAACCAAAATATTCAAATATTGACTCACAGATCTCCTCTAGACACATCTCCACCAAGTGCTTCCAGGCTTCCAAAAGTTACATTCATTCTCACAGGAGTCTTTTTAGCTGCAAAGGGAACGTCTACGTTACAAATCAAGTGAGAACTTCAGTCTCCCGGCGCCATTGCTTCCCACCCAGTATCAGAGGCCTGACTTGGCTATTTCCTATTGTAAACCACCACAGGGAATTACAACTGCATGAAGCACATTCTAGTGTCTTCCTAGTTATGTCGTCACATTGATGCAACTGATTCACACCACCTCTTCACAGTCTGAGCTCTCCACCCATCCTCTTAAGAATAATCTAAACTAATTGTAGAGGAACTAGTCAGCAAATTTATATTCCCATATCCTTTTTTGGTTCATAGACATGGTTCTGGATGCTAGACAATTAGGTAAAATGTGAACTACACAAATGTGAATTGGTTGTGGAAGACAATAAGGATCTGAAGGCTTCTAAAGAATGATAGAAACATACCATATTTTTCCGTGTATAAGATACCTCAGTGTATAAGACGCACCCACTTTTCTAATCCAAAATTAAGAAATCTAAGTGGGATTTAGCAAGTGTAGGGGGAAAGGGATCAAAGCACTGCAGGATCACTTTGCTCCCTGCTTTCCCCTCCACTTGTTTTTGTTCTCTCCGTGTATACGATGACCTTCAATTTTAGTCTAAAAATTTTAGACAAAAGTATACAGTAGTCTTATACATGGAAAAATACGGTATACCTTAGACAAATGCTGAGCCATGCTGACACATGAAACTAACTTCACTAGTTAGAAAGTACATGGCTTATGTTCAAATGCACTTTCTTGTATTCCTTTCACCAAATTAAGCCTTCTTCATCCCTAACTGAAAATGGACTAAAAATTAAACCTAAGATCTTCTGCATGGAGAACTTTGTATTACTGTTGAGGTATGGACTCTATTTAAAACCTACCTAGAAACTGGACATGTTTCTTCTTTATTTTTGGATAACAACTCCTAGAATCTACTTGTGAACATTACTAGGGGATTCTAAGAGTTGTACTGCAAAGCAGGAGTAATATTTCCAATCTCTGGATACGCCTTGCAGGCAGAAGTCCTATTAAGCTGCCATTGACCAATCTTGTCTCAAATCTAAAAGTTCTCCAGGGTCCTGTAAGCTCCTTCTCAGATGTGCGATCTTTGATGTTCTTTAACTGAAAATACCAAGGAGTGAATCTGATGATTTTTACAAGTCAAGCAGGGGTGCAGTGCTTGAGGTATGGGTCACATTTTGTGCCATTCCTTGTCTAACCTTAATTAAACTGACTCTTCCATATGACAAAATTATATCTCCTACCGACTGGAGTGCCTTCTTTTGTCATCTCAGTGGCAGGGAAGTCATTCCTGGTTGAACAAGGCGGAGAAGAGATCAGATTTTAACATGCTCAGAAATTTACAGATTTTTAAAAAACAAAAAATCAGATTTCCCATTCAAAGTGGGACAAAACTGCATGCTAAAAAGGTGTAGAAAAATGAGCCAAGCTGCATACACAGGAAATTATTGACCCAAAGAAAATGACACATCTCCAGAAACAAAGGCAAGAAGCATGCTATACACCCTCATTATGTGTAGCACACTAAAAAGAAGATTTGCTCCATTAGCTACCAGTTTCTTCTGCAGTCCTCGATCCATTCTTTCATGATGGCATGGTAGGTTTCCAAATCCATGGATATGTCCCTTTGATCAGGATCAAGCATGTTGCACAGCTCCTCAAGACCACTGTCTTCTGAACTCCGGCTTGTTGTATATCTCAGGAAGTCAACCAATTTAGAGACAGGCACTTTGCCTGAGGAAAACAATGGCAACTTACACAACTGCCAAAGCACGACATTTCAGAGTTATACGTTTTTATGAAGATACTTTTTTTTATGTTAACACACCTTGCCCTAGACCAGTGGCTCCCAATCTTGGATCCCCAGGCGTTCTTGGATTGCAGATCTCAGAAATCCTGGCCAGCACAGCTAGGGGTGAAAGCTTATGGGAGCTGCAATCTAAGAACATGTGGGGACTCATGGTTGGGAATCACTGGTCTACAGCACTCACATCCTGCTGGTGGGCTACCCATTTGCATCTGGTTGGCCACTGGACTGGACTTCAGTGGGACAACTTGCCAATGTAGGGATGTTTTCGACATGCCCTTAAAATAAAAACTGTGATAGCGCATTGAATGTCAGATGGAAGAGCTCTCAGTGACTAGAAATAAAAGATAAATTAAAGCCCAGGAAACTATTGTTTGGAGCTGAGTTCCACCTTGTTGCCCTGGAAACGGTTGAATCCAGGCTTCCCTCCGATCAGATGCATCCTCTGATGCAGCTCACAAACATGGTGGGAAGATATCCAAACTGATAGAAATAATACATCGTCCCACCAAATGACCTTCAGCCCTACCCACCAGCTTTAGACCTCTCTGCTTTTGCAATCTGGCTGCTGAGACTCTTCCCAAATGGGAATTCCGCTCCCAGCTGGAAAATGAGCATGACTTTTATCTGAGCTTGGAAATTTTACTCTGGACAAAGCCATTATGAAGTGTCTCTTGCAAACTCTGTTCTCCATCCTCAAGTCTATATAAAGGTCATGGATTTAATGACACATAGCATTACTTTTCAACGTTTCCAACAATTACAAAACAAAGGATTAAAAAAAATCTCTACCTCTTCTTTCTACATCACATGCAGAAAACATTGTTGTCAATAAATCTTCCTCGCAGATCAGGCTTACGTCAGAGTCTTCATCGTCTTTGATTTCTGCGGACCGTTTCCATCCTGCAGTAGGAAAGGACATTGGGAGGGGGATGGTTTTCCAGGTATAGTTAAAAGACTGGTAAGCAGGGAGATGATCGCAGGATACGGCCTTATTCAGGTTTGCACTAGATCTCAGGATAGGTGGAGGATTCCAATTTCATTGGAGCTGTGAACCCTTTTTTGGGGTTTTAGACTGAGCTTTGCGGGAGTTGGCTGTATAGCTCAGTGGTTTAGATATCTGGCTATAAAACCACAGGATGGGAGTTCGATTCCCCACTGTGCCTCCTGTAAGCAGAGCCAGCCTGTGTGACCTTGGGCAAGCTGCACAGTTCCAGGATGCCTTCAGAAGAAGGGACTGGTGAACTGCTTCTGAGTATTCTCTACCTGGAAAACCCTGAAAGGGGTCACCGTAACTCAAAATTGACTTGGCTGCACATGATGATGATGATTAATTCAGCAGTTTATCCAAGGTTCTGAATCTCAACTGCAAATAGGGTCAGCTCCTTAACGTTTGGACTAAAACCTTGAGCAAATTCACAGCTCCAGCAAAGCCAGAGTTATCCATTTGCTACTATTAGACATGAAAATCCAACTAGATTTGAATTTTTAAATTTAAAAGCCCAACAATATCCCATTTCAAGTTCAATGTTTAAGAGTTGTTTTAAAAACAATGGGAGTTTTATCAGAGCTTTGGATAGTAGCTGCCGAATCCCTCAGCCAGCATAGCTAGCAGCCAAAATGAGTGAAGGGTCCTACAATCTGTAACCCAAATCCTAGTTCTGAATATACTTGACAAAAGCAGGTATATAAGATGACGACCAATTATCAGTCCTATCCATTCTGAAGGAAATCAACCCTGAGTGCCCACTGGAAGGACAGATCCTGAAGCTGAGGCTCCAATACTTTGGCCATCTCATGAGAAGAGAAGATTCCCTGGAAAAGACCCTGATGTTAGGGAAGTGTGAGGGCAAGAGGAGAAGGGGACGACAGACAACGAGATTGTTGGACAGTGTTGTCAAAGCAACCAAGATGAATTCGACTCAACTCTGGGAGGCAGTGGAAGGCAGGAGGGCCTGTCATGCTCTGGCCCATGGGGTCACGAAGAGTCGGACACGACTAAACAACTAAACAACAACAATTTGTATTGTATGGTATTGTGTTGCATTGTATTGTATTGCATTGCATTAATGAGTTGCTTCTGATTGCCAATGATACCTTTTAAAGGATTTAAAAAAGAAAATATGCACAAACAAAAAAAGTCAACACAATAAGGAAATACATAGACTGTATCTTGCCCAGCCTGTTATAAAGAAGCAGCCATTTTTTTATAAAGTCATAATTTATTATCCTTACCCATGGACAGTGTTTTGCTGGAAGGCAATTGAGACTCAGCCTCAGCAGGCTGTGTTTCCTGAACAGACACATCCGGACTTGAGGTCAAATAGTTGCATTCCCGAGAAGGGACACTCTTCAGTTCTCTGTTAGAAGGGCCACACCGCGGAGCAGAAGCTGACCCCTCACGTTTGAGGAGATAAGGGGAGGAACATCCCGTCTGGCTTGCCAGAAGCCACGATCGGGTGGCCTTCTCTTTATTTCTGCCACTCAAGAAACTCTCCGAGCGGATATCAGAGACACGTCGGTGAGCCGGCGTTGCCACGGGTGGGCATGGAGAGAAGATGCTGTCCTCCACAAAAGGGCTCAGCAAGCAGGTGCTGTTGCTTGGAGTACTGGTGTCTTCGCTTGTTTTCAAGGTCCTTTTCTTTAAGATCTCCTCCAGATTTTTCTTCACGTTGCTCTGTGGGCTATCAAAGTTCTTGGACTGAAACTTCGGGATCTGCAAGGCAGGGTTGGAAGCCTGATCCATCATGTTGATAGCCTGGAGCTTCCGGCAAAGACTGTCCACCGGGTGATGATGCCGTTTTCTAAGGTAGCTTTCAGAGGCCATCTTGCTCATTCTTTTTGGATATTATCTTTAAAAACAAAACAAAAAAAGTGGATTCATGGACCATGGATTTCCCTTTCTATGTAGTTTACCTAGTCTGATATTGGGATTAAGCAGAAGTGACCTTTAAGGGATTAAAATTCCCAGAATCCCCCTGGCCAGCACAGCCATGAGTCAGGATGGCATGGGAATACTGGGAGCGATAATTTATTTATTTAAAATATTTTTACCCTGCCTTTCTCCTTAAAAGATTCCAAAAACGTCATTTCTCCACCCTTTTGGGTCATAGATTCCCCATATGAGGATATATGAAAGTAAGCCAATAAAAATGACCAAAAAGGGGTAATAATAAATCATTTGCCATCAAGTCAATTCTGACTTATGGTGACCTGTTTCAGGGTTTCCCAGGCACAGAATACTCAGACGTGGTTTGCCATTATTTTCTTCTGGTGGTGCTCTGGGATAATGCAACTCCCCCAAGGTTATATAGGCTGGTTTTTATTGAGGGAGGCACAGTCAGGGAATCGAACTCTCAACCATATCTAAACCAGTGAGCTATCCAGCCAGCGAACATAAAAAAAGTGATGCATCAACTTCATTTGGCTCAAAGCAAAATTCAACTGCCTGCTTTTTTAAAATGCAAAATTGTATGTTATTCCACATACAAATCAATGCCATACACATCAAAATTTATTAAAATCTTCCCTCAGACTGTAGAAAATGCAATTCCCAATGGGACATGCTCAGAGAGGATTATATATTTTATTCATTTCTTTTATATTCTGCCTTTCTCCCAATACAAGAATCCAGGTCGGTTAAAAACAAGTGTAACCAATTCAATGCAATTTAAAGCAGCGGGAAAGCTCTCCACTGAAAGGTTAAAAAGTACAATTTTCTCTCCCTGGAAAAGACCCTGATGTTGGGAAAGTGTGAAGGCAAGAGGAGAAGGGGACGACAGAGGACGAGATGGCTGGACAGTGTCACCGAAGCGACCAACGTGAATTGGACCCAACTCCGGGAAGCAGTGGAAGACAGGAGGGCCTGGCGTGCTCTCCTCCATGGAGTCACGAAGAGTCGGACACGACTAAACAATAAACAATGTTCTCTATCCAAAGGCCCCACCTCAGCAACCAGTCTCCAAAACCTTTAGAGCAGATGAAGGCCAGATGGCTGGACAGTGTCACCGAAGCGACCAACGTGAATTGGACCCAACTCCGGGAAGCAGTGGAAGACAGGAGGGCCTGGCGTGCTCTCCTCCATGGAGTCACGAAGAGTCGGACACGACTAAACAATAAACAATGTTCTCTATCCAAAGGCCCCACCTCAGCAACCAGTCTCCAAAACCTTTAGAGCAGATGAAGGCCAGAAAAACAAAGGTCGGACACAACTAGACAACTAAACAACAAACAATGTTCTCTATCCAAAGGCCCCAACTCAGCAACCAGTCTCCAAAACCCTTAGAGCAGATGAAGGCCAGAAAAACAAAACAAAGAAAAATCGTAACAATCCTCATTTACTCCAAGAAATGTGAGTAATAAGCATTTCAACAGCAATGAGCATTTCAAAACTCTTAGCATCTTACCCTGAATGACAGAACTCGGGAGCTCCTTGTCTAACTGTCTTCTACTTCTTAAAACAAGCAAATTAAATTCACTTTTTTTAAAAAAAATGCTCTGTCACGCCAAAGGATAGTAAATTCACATCTCTTTTCCTCAGCCTTGGGATCCTGAAGTAAATCCAGACCCAGCTGTGAGAGATCACCTGACCCCCTCAAGCACCTGCTATGCATTGAGTGGTCAATAACTCATTATTTCCTTCTTCTTTTTTTTACTAGCTTTCTTTTCTCTTACTCTTTCCACCAAGGGTTTCCTGGCACTGTTGAGCTTTTGCTTTCAAAACAACACAAAGATAGTACATGCATCACCCTTACCACTTCAGAATAAATCTCACTCCATCTTCTGAGAAAATTTAAGTCTTAGACCCAATATTCCTGAAAAGCTGGGGAAAGTCCAGTTTTAGGTATCTACCATTGGATCAAGTCTATAGAAACTTGGTTATCTTTAGAATAATCTATCCTGTCTTTCTGATACTCTTCCCCATGTTGTTTACATCTGCAAGATGGGCTAAACTTCGACAAATGAAAGCTTATCCTGTTATTGGATATTCAGGCAAGTGAGAAAACTGCACCTATTGAATTTCTGTCTGCTACACAACTGTTGAAATAGGGGTGGGGTGGGTGGTGGATATTTAATTTCTCCTATTTAGTTTTCATTGTATAAACCCATAAAAGTTTCTATGAAATGAAACTGATTATTCTTTAAGGCGCTATAAAACTCTGCTGCAGCACATTAAATGCTACCTCTCTTGAATTAATTAGAATATTAATTAAAATTTCCAGGGATCTCATAATAAAGCTAGCCCTTAAAAAGAACCTCGGAATACAAATACCTCTACAAAAAGTCCAGTGGCTAGGGAATTAAATTATTGGCAGAATAATTGGTTTATTGAAAGGTTTATCAATCCATGAAATAGTAAAATAAATTACAATTATTACCCTTTCTGTTTATTCAGTTTGATGTAAACAGAGGTATTATTTTCTTTTAAAATATCTTTTTAAAATACCATACAAATACAGCTATTTATCTTTGTACTGTATATTTAGCATATAAACTTTTGAATTGTTTATTATTATTGAATTCGCTCTGGCTGTTTATGTGCGTAAATAACGATGTAATGTAACATCCTTGTTGTAGCTGTTACATTTTAGAATCTGGCATTCTTAATTACTTTTTTTTGGCAATGGAGTGACTCAATTGAAAATGTATAATTCAACTTTTAAAAAAGGGGGGAGACACCAACAGTTTTTTTTTAAGTTATTAAAAACTAAGCAAGGAGCAAATCAAAATGAAAATTTTCTTCCTAGAAAATCTTCCTAGAAAACAGAAGTCTCTCTTCTGTTTATTGCTTCTTGGTAGGTTGAAACTCAGTTGTAAGTTTTTGTTAATATGGGGATAGTGTGGCCTTTACTGTTAAGGTTTCTGCCCTAAACCAGACTTCTTACAAATCCAGGAGCCTTGCCAGAAATCTGAGGAAGAAACATTTATTTTTGTTGCAAGATGGTAAAAGTAAGACAATAGAACTTCTCTTGGCATACCATGATGATGGAATTATGATCGTGCAAATCTGGATTCCCTATTTGGAATGATAAGCTTTTCTGTGCCCGACAGTACACCCGCAGCAAAACTCCCATTTTGAGATATCAGGGCAGCTGTCCTGTTTCCTCAGATCCTAAAAGCCACTTCATACTCAAAAATCAAACGTTCTCCTCTCCTAACAGCTTTCAGCCTGCAATTTTTCTCCCCATCTGAAGACTCAGAGAAGCATAGAAATCACCTCAATACCTCAGCCTGAGACCTGGCAAGGATATATCTGGATGGAGAGCCCTCGAGCCATGAGAATAAATCTTCAAGGCTTTCTAGGACGGGGTAGCACCTTATTCCCTCAGGTTTGGCTCAAAAGTCTCAGACATAGAGAATGGACCCAAAATTTGAGGCCTAGAGCCAAAACCTAGCAATCCCCCAATTAGCTACTCATTCTGGCTGGTTTGCTATCTTCTGTGCCAACAATGTAGATTTCCCCTTTCAATCTAGTTTCTTCTAGATGTGTTGGACTACAGTTTCTGTCAACCTCAGGATGGTTACGAGGGAGAAATGAGTTGAGAAGTAAATGTGTTTCTCTTTGGGCAGGCTGCTATCTCAGTGGCCTTTGGGTTCCTTCTGAACGTGGTTGACACATGTCCAAGTCTATATTTATTTTGTTTGGTTTGTTAGGTTTCTGTACTGCACCATCTATGGACAAGCCATTAATCTGGGTGGTTTCCAGCTGTGAAAATGGACATCAAACAGATAACTATCCCTTACTGGATCCACAAAATATAATAATATAAAAATATAAAAGGAAGGCAACACTCTGAAGAATCCAAGATGGAGGCAATGGATGGAATACAAACTGCGAAATATAATAACCACAAAAAAGATGAAATCATAAAAGGAGGATATTCTGAAACGCCTTCCTGAAAACCAGTGTTTTAATATGCTTTCTGAATATCAGGAGGGAAGGGGCCTGGCTCTACAGGTAGAGCATTTCATATAGAGGTGGCCACCGTAGAGAAGACCTGGCTCCTAGTTATGGACTTGCAGCATCAAAGCCTGAGAGATGCAATTGGCACAGGTAGTTAATCTCGGGAGAGCTGCTTGGATGTTTGTTTGGTATTCAAATTTGGGAATTACATGGTAATCAAGACACATAGCCAAACTGGAGTGGGGTCCAGAAGGGGTGTTTTCTGCAAGAAGGAAAGGATGAAACTAGAATTGGCTGAGAGGAGATATGAAAATCGCTTTCAAGAAAACAAAGAATCTGAAGAGCTGACTGATAGAAGATAGAGCAATCTTGTCCTGTGTTGCTCCAAAGGGCAAGACCAACAGCAGTGAGTGGAAATAGCAGATTTTGGTTATTCCTTGAGAACAATCTGTCTTACAGTTGAAGAGGTGACTCTTGAAATGGTGGTCACCCTTCACTGAAAGTATCTAAGCAAAGGATGGAGAGCTCCCTGTTGAGAATACCACAGTGGCGTCCTATATTGCAGATCCTGAATTTGTAGTTTAAAAAAAGTAACTTACCCTCACTCTGGTTTATCACCATCCAATGAAAAAGTTGCTGGCTTGATACCTACTATGATCCATTTAGTAATCTTTAGGGTAGGGCAAGCTACGTCTACTACATATATTGGGCTCTCATACATGGAGTTAGAGGAGAAAACTGCACGGAGAAAGTTGTGAAGCACTTTCTGACTTTGTTAGGTTTCTACTTTGCTGAGGTTGGCCATAGGATGAACACCGTGGTTAAGGTTAGCGGAAATATATACTTCTTATATTTCTTTGTGAGAATGCCAGTACCCCCATCTTGAATAAGACCAGCTCTCACACCCAGAGTACTTCATTTTTTGTCATCATGTTAGTACTTGTTGTTTTCTCAAATAAGACTCTGCTTTTCAATGAAATCATTGCTGTTGGTGTGCCATCAAGTCACTTCAGATTTATGACAATTAGTGACCTCCCCCCCCAAAAAAGTCCTGCCATCAACAACCCTGCTCAAGGGCTTGAGTATATATTTTACACCTTGAAAACTCTCAAATGACATAAAGAAGTTGAGGGGATGGGTGATCTATAAAGCCAGAACATGGAACTTTTGGGACAATGATTTCCCAAATCCCTTCCTCACCTGCATACTGGGGATTCTGGGAGTTGTAGTCCAGAAAAAGTCCAGTGTCCAAGCTTTTTGTAGAATTCACCTTAGCGTGGGGTCACTGTTGGTTGCCAAGCATTCCTGCCCCCTTGCTTGTTGGTATGGCTCATTTGTTGACTGGCTCAGTCGATGAAGCTAAATGACTCAGGGTCTACTGACTTTAAGGGGAGTGTGTGGGGGGTTGGACACTAAGTTGTCTGTACCACTGAGCCTCATCCATGTCCCTTGAGGTTGTTGTGTCCTCCTTGATGAGGGCAATTTCTTTGTTCTGCTAAGTTCACCAAGGCAGCAGAGAAGGTCAAGTAACACACTCACCTTCAGGGGATCTGCTGGTGCAGAAATCAAGTTGGTTGGGAAAGAGAGAAGAAAACAAGTCTTGATTTGAAGCTCCATGTGCTCTTTCTTCCCTCTGCAGATGGGGCTTCTGATCTCGGGGACCTTTTTCACTGTAATGGGCAACACATAAGTCAGAGGGGACCTTTTTATTCTGTCAGGTGCTTCATTTTCATCACAGATCGTCTGTGTCCACAAAACATCTCGAATCTCCTGTGGCCATTACCCTGGAGCAGAACCATCAAATCTAAATGAAACGTACCTGCAGCATTTTGCCTGCAAAGCAGAGATTAAATTGCTCCTGCGGTTTCCGATTCATTTCCTGGGGAAGCAGCACAGAATTTTGGTTCATTTTAATGGGTTTTATGAAAATCCAGTCTACATTTTTCCCAAGCAGAACATCATTTTATAATTGCCGGCAGGATTTATCTGATTTATTAAAACATCTTCCCCCCATTTTGCCTGTGTTTATGTTGTTAGCCAGGTGACAATCTATAAAAGCCTTACACTAGGGGCACGATCCTATCAGAGTCAAACTTGATTGTTCTATTAAGTATTTGATACCACTTGGTTTTGTTGTTCAAATGATACAGAGAAAGAAGGAGGCAGTAGTCTAAAAACTTGGTCTTCTGTGGTGTTTAAATGATATGTCATTTATATAGCTAAACAATCTAGTGTTGATTTTAGGTATTCTATTTGAAGGCAGCAGGAAAAGAGGAACACAAAAGACAAGATGGATTGACTCCCTAAGGAAGCCACAAGCTTGAGCTTGCAAGAGCTGAGCAGTACTGTTAGGGACAGGATAGTTTGGAGATCACTCATTCATAGGGTTGCCATACGTCGGAGGTGACCCGACAACACATAACAATTTACAGTATACAGTATATTTAAATAATATATTGTTACACGATTGCATTTCAATCAAACAAATAAGTCGTGGATGAAGTATAATACAGACTACTTGAAAAGTTCTTCCTGTTCAGCCACGAACCACATTGGGTTACCCTGGAGGTTTTCTTTAGTCTGGTTTATAGGAGTGTTGTGACAATGAAGTGGATCGTAACCTTATACCCATCCACAGAATCCTGAGAGCCTTGGAGGAAGTGTAGGGTGGAAAACATGATTCATAAATGCCATGCTAGAGTCAGGCCTCATTGTATAATGGCAAATGTTGAAATGTAAACACTCAAGACAGTCCTCATAGTCAGCTCTTCAAAGAGAATCCAAACATGCAAACAGTTGAACCCATCTGTATCAATATGTCCTTTTCCTTTCTAGCAGGAGTAGAAGATTCAAACGGCAGCCACTTTCCTGGCTGCCCTTCCCCTCCCATTTTTGCTGGAGCACGCTGGAATGGCTTTAAATATAACAGCTACAACCCCTTGCATATCAGATTAAGTGACCATACTGTCTGAACTGATGTAAAGGCATTCAATTCCAAAGATGTAGAAGCCCCAGTGATGAAGGGGAAAAACTACAGAACTGGGGGTGAAAATTGTGAGCTGATTCACATTAACTTTTACAATGTGTATTCAACAGAAAATAAGGTGAATTAGAAAACCCAAGCCACCCACCCACCCCCGCTCCTGGAGCATTTCCTACATTCTTTGTCAGTGTAATCACACCGTTAATCAATACACCAATAAAGCCTCAGGCACCAGAATTGCCGGCCATGGCTTGTTTTTTGCTGCTCCTGCTAGAACCGTATGGATTGCAGCTGAGCTGAAAGGGAACGCCAATGTATGAAGGACCTGGATGATGATGCCACTGTTTCTATTGATCCAGAAGTACCCTTTCAGTTCTGCAACGGAGGTTCTGCTGCAGCAAGTCTGGACTTCTACTTGAATCTTTCCGCACTGCTCTGCTGCCTGTTTCCTTGGCTAAACTCACTAAAGGCAATGTCGCAAAAAAGCGCCAGGAATCATCATTAGGCCAGAATTGTTGTTGTTTAGTTGTTAAGTCATGTCAGACTCTTCGTGACCCCATGGACCAGAGCACGCAGGCCTTCCTGTCTTCCACGGCCTGAAGTTTGGTCAAATTCATGTTGGTCGCTTCTGTGACACTGTCCAAGCACCTCATCCTCTGTCGTCCCCTTCTCCTCTTGCCTTCACACTTTCCCAACATCAGGATCTTTTCCAAGGAGTCTTCTCTTCTCATGAGATGGCTAAAGTCTTGAAGCCTCAGCTTCAGGATCTGTCCTTCCAGTGAGCACTCAGGGTTTAGGCCAGAATAGTACTATTGATTCATCCTTCTGGCCTAATTTTTGGCCCATTTACCCAAACTGTTGACCTTCACTCAAACAACCAGAAAATGTAAAGTCTTAAACAAAGAAGAGTTCTTTCATACACCCCGCCCTCCCGAAAAAGTTGACTTGTGGCCAATGTGATGAGCCACATCAAGGCAAATAGACTACTGCCCTTTCCAAGGTCTTTCAATCAGAACAAAGGACTCATGGAGCTTGAACGTTAACAAGGGATCCTGCTGCTTTCGTGATCTTCTGTTCTCAAAGTTGATTTTGAACATATTGATTATGTGACAAAGCTGATGTCTCGTCTATGTTGACTCTTATGGGAAATGACGTGCTTGATGTAATGCCTCATTTTTTTTAAACTCATCAAACCTGAGTTATCAGAATGGATGGGGAGGAAATTTATATCCAGAGTTAGTCCAGTTAAGAGTAGACCCACTAAAATCAATGGAACACGTTACTTGTGTCTAATCTAAATTTTACTGATATCAGTGGATGAGGCATGACTAAATTGGGAACCAGACTTATTTTAATATGTTTTAATAGTGTTTCTCAGGGTTATTTTTTTTTCATGAGGATGACAACAAGGACAGAACATTGTATTAATTAAAAAACCTGTGGGGGGGACTTGGTTATTTTTGCTGTGGGATTCTGGGAGCTGTAATTTAAAAAAAAAATATGACTTCTCCAAATTACTGTGGCTCTCTAGGGCCTAAATCCAACATAACGCTTGTGAAACTTGCAACGTTGTAAGGGATTGCATTGTTGTTCAAAGAATTGTGCGACTAGATGTACAATCCATGGTGTACCCAGGTACACAACAGCCAAAATCATGTTGTTTAATGTAGAAAATCCCACTGGAGTCGGACCATCTGAATCAACCGGGTTTTGGTGAGTCACCTCCTCCCAAAGTTCCATTGAGGCCAATGGGCCTACTCTAACTGCAGCGTCCTTTAGCATAGTAATTCAGTTAGAGAAGGCCCATTTGTATCAATGGAATTTATAGAGTGGACTCAGCAAATCCCTGCTGATCCAATGGGTCTACTCTAGTTTATACATATGGTTGGCAGTTACTTGCACAACTGCATGCTCTTAGGTAGAGCAGGTTGTGCCCATCTATACTCATAGGCACTGGAAACTCCCCTTGCACTAAATCCACAAATGCATCAGTGTGAATGCAATGGGTCTTGAGCATGTGGAGGGAAACCACTGGTTACTTGTAGACTGCATCCTTCTCTATGAACTATGGTGCTAAGAGGTTTTGGGCCAGAAGCATCTAAAGCAGTGGTCCCCAACGTTGGGCCTCCAGATGTTCTTAGACTACAACTCCCAGAAGCCTTCAACACCACCTTTGCTGGCCAGGATTTCTGGGAGTTGAAGTCTAGGAACATCTGGAAGCCCAAAGTTGGGGACCACTGATCTAAAGGGCCAAAGTGGCCCACACATGCTGTATTACATCTCCACTTCCAAGGAGAGAGTAAGGCGCTTTGTTCTTGTTTTATATAATCTAAGATTAACCAGACTGAAACAAAACAAGCACAACTATACCATCCTGAAGACATTAACCTTGCTTCATTTTGGAAGCTAAGCAGGGTCGAGGCTGGTTAATACTTGGATGGGAGACCCACAAAGAAATACCAGCGTTCTCCAGGTACCCTGTCTGAAACTATATAGAGTTGCTGTGAGTCAGCAGTGACACTACTAGGCTAACCAACACCCTAATGTTTCTGAGGAGTTGGTGGAAGAGTAGAATTCCTGGCACTTGAAGTCTGGAACTACATCTGTCTAGAAGCCCCCGTGCTTCTTATTTTAGCAATTGATCACCGCAAGCAAATGTCCAAAAGCCATCATGTTGTGAGTAAGGTCTACGGCAAAGTGCGGCCCGAGGGCCACATACAGCCTGCAAGCCGCTCCTGTCCACCCCGCCAGTCGTCGCTCCAGTCCAGTGTTCAAGCACTTGTTCAAGCCCAAGACAGACTGGATTTCTCTCACTAAACAAGTTGAACATCAAAACCATTTATGGCTTTTTGTCTAAAGTTGATCAGTTGCTTATCTTTTATTTTTAAGTAAAGTCGGTTTGGCCCCCAGACACAGTTCAGAATTTTCATGTGGGCCCCATATAGAAATTAATTGCCCACCCTTGGTCTACAGGTAGGTTGATGCCAAGTAACGTTTGTAGGAACTATAACAGGCTGTCTTCTCTTGGATAAGAACATTGAGATGTTCACTGCAAGATTGCTCAAGCCCATTTTTTTTTTTGGATGCCTGCGGGGAAGATGAGGCATGATGGGTGGCATGACCACAGGGCGGCATTATTTTAGGGCTACTACTTAATGGCAAAGGGCGATTCTTCAGTTAATACCACTTGCTCATGGTGGTGATGGTAAGCAAGCCTTGATGGACTGCCGAGAATGGATTGCTGATGAATTTCCCCATATGTGGTGCGAGTGTATATGTCAGAGGTTTGGGTCACTTCCTCTGAAGCATTCTGAACATCATCTTCCCTCCTCGCCAGAAGACGTCAGCCGTTCTGTGTCTCCTTGTTTGAGCTTGACAAGAGGTCCCTTTAGAGCGCTCCACTCTTGATTCCAAAGGGGGGAGGGCGTCTCACCACATGGAAGGCTTAAATAGGGATTCCTTCATGACAACCGCATCACATTTACCTGTTGCCTCTTGGGCACAGTGCAGCTACCAAAGATCGGATCGCCAGGAGAGCGGAGAAATGAAGGTATGTAAAAGAAGCCAGTTGCTATTTCTTTTCAGTTTCTCATCAGTCAGGTATGTACTATTGCTTGGAATTGCAAGGGACCTTTTAAAAAGATCGAGAATAACTAGCAAATAAATGCAACAGTCCCCAGTAACGCCGGACTTTGATTAAACCTTTATAACTTTGTAACTTCTGCAGATAATCTTGTGAAGATCAAAGAACAAAAAGCAACATACACACAAATATGATCAATAATTAGCTAAGAGAGTCACACCAAAGACTGCTATTAGAATCTGGGTAGCAAATGTTTTAAAATTGTTATTAATATAGCCAATCAATGGAAATCATGTGTTGAAACATTGCAATGGACATAAGCTGAAGAATTCATTTTCAAAGGAGTCTTATATTTTTTCCTAATTGTCTCACTGTAAATGCAAAAGTAAACTTAAACTCTAAATCAACAGCAGCAGAGTAAGGCTATTTTTTAGAAGATCCACTGAAATAAGTTGAACAACCTTTATTTCCATGTCATAGATTTTAGCTTTGTGGTGCCCAGAAAATGGGTCCAGTGATTTCCTCAACAACCAATAAAGAATCTGCTGTCTGATTGATAAATGATTTTTTTTTTTGGCTGACAAAACAGAGAAGTAGGATTTTTTTTTCAACCCTGCAGGAAATTATACATGGAGTTCAGCCTCATATTTTATCTTAACTAAAAATTACCTTACGGCTAAACTTCTGAAACAAGTAAATTAACCTTTGGGTGGGGTTATTATTTGAGTTAAAGTTGTGGGTTTCTAAAAAATAGACTCTCATTAAAAATAAAGAAATTAAAGCCATTGAAGGCATATAGTATATAGAAGCAAAACATTAACAGTCGTTTAACAGAGGTCATGATTTGAAATAGCTTAGATTAAGCATTTATTCAGGATTTTGAAATGCAGGTTAAATGTTTTGTCCAAATCAACAGTGTATTTGGGTTCTGTACCTTAATAGAACTGCTGTCATTCAAGGGATGGGGTTATTATTTTTGGAAAGCTATAATTAACAGTGTAATTAACAAATGAGCTAATTAATCATGATTAACTGTATATGAAATAGGGGCTTGTCTAGTTTTTTTCAGTTCAGGACATGTTGCTCTGTAAAACTTTGCATCCCCACTTAAGTATACTAGCATAAATGAAGTAACGTTTATTTAGATTATTATTTTTTAAACAATCTACTCTTATCTGTGTTATGTAGGGCTTGAATGAAATAGTTGAAAACCTGAATATGCAAACTTTTAAATAAATGTTTACTAGACTGTCCCCATGATGCATGAACATGCATACAACTGAAAAACTTTGTCAACTCCTGCATGATTGTTCCCTTGAGTAAAAAAATAGCCAGGGTTTTCTTTTTTCTCCTTAGGAACGTCACACAACAAAAAACTTGTATTTGGTCCAAAACCCCACCCAGACCTTGTATTCTGTGCTAAGAGATGCTTGTATTTGGGGGTTGTGTGTGCAGTGATACAAGTATTTTTGAGGGATGTGGTGGCGCTGTGGGTTAAACCGCAGAAGCCTCTGTGCTGCAAGGTCAGAAGACCAGCAGTGATAATATTGAATCCACACAACAGAGTGAGCTCCTGTCGCTTGTCCCAGCTCCTGCCAGCCTAGCAGTTTGAAAGCATGTAAACACGAGTAGATAAATAGGTACTACCACAGTGGGAAGGTCACGGCGTTCCGTGTCTAGTCGCGCTGGCCACGTGACCATGGAAACTGTCTTCGGACAAACGCTGGCTCTACAGCTTGGAGACGGGGATGAGCACTGCACCCTAGAGTCAGACACGACTGGACTAAATGTTAAGGGGAACCTTTACCTACAAGTGTTTTCATGCAAAATAGATTTTGTGCAAAAATGAATTCCACTTTTTTTTTGCAAAAAACCTCCCAGTATGAGAGGAAAAAAGGCACAGAGATGTTTGATACATCCTCTAGTAATGAGAAAACGTGAAGCATTTTTTCATTCTAAGCTTTGACAGAGAAATAAAGAGATCCGATCCATCTCTACCCAATTGTTCCTGTTCATAAGCAGGTGCCTCCAAACTTGTTCATAAGACTAGAGTTTTGGAAATCTTGCCCAGCTATTGGGTAGAGTTCTATTTCACAGACGTTCTCAGTTGCCACATTGTAGGGGTGAGCCAGAAGCGAAAGGGAAAGACTAAAAATACAAGCCTCTTTTAGTGTAAAGGTCTTACTGCAAATGACTAAGAATTAGGAGATGAATTTCAGCATTTCAGAGTGGAGGAAAATACAAAAACAAAGAGGCCATGAAAAAATGGTGGTCTGGGGGGAAAGACATGGTCCACAGGGTCAGATACATCCCATGACTTGTGGTTTCCCTCCTTACCCACAGGAGAAGAAAGGAGGAATAGCAAGCCAGGTGAACCCAGGAAACAGCATCTTATTTTCCTCCTAATGCTGGCTGGATAGCTCAGAGAGTTGGAGTACCTGGCTGAGGAGCCAATGTTGGGAGTTCGATACCCCACTCTGTCTCCTGGGAGATGAGTCGGCCTGTGTAGCCTTGGGCAAGCTGCATAGAACACCCTCAAGGAAGGGAACAGTAAACCAATTCCGAGTATTCTACCTAGAAAAACATGGAAATGGTCACTGTACGTTTGTAACCTATTTGATGGCATCTAATGATACTCAGGAATGTGGTGACGCTGTGGGTTAAACCGCAGAAGCCTCTGGGCTGCAGGGTCAGAAGACCAGCAGTCATGAAGACCAAATCCACGTGACGGAGTGAACTCCCGTCGCTTGTCCCAGCTCCTGCCAATCTAGCAGTTCAAAATCATGTAAAAATGCAAGTAGATCAATAGGGACCACCTTGGTGGGAAGGTAATGGCGTTCCGTGTCTAAGTCGCACTGGCCATGTGACCAGGGAAGATTGTCTTTGGACAAACGCTAGCTCTACGGCTTGGAGACGGGGATGAGCACCGCTCCTTAGAGTCGGACATGACTGGACTAAATGTCAAGGGGAACCTTTACCTTTACCTAATGATACTCATTATTATTACCCAGAGGCAGAGTAGATGGCTTTTTCAGTAAAAGGGACCGCTCTATATCCTCTTGGCTGCTTTTGTCATTTCAGGGATTCCATGCCTTGGCTTTACTACTTTCAGCTTCCTTCATTACGTTTTCCTGGAGTGTTCCTCAGGTAAGGATAAGCTTCGGTTTGTGATGAACTCAACTTGTGTAAAATAAGCCTGCCATTTTCTGTGCCTGCTCTGTAAGGGCTAAACTACAATTAGCCCATCGTTAGAAGCTCAGCTCCCTTCAGAGGTAAAAGACCATTTATGATAACATGAGCTTCCCTCAATCAGCAAATTAGCTCACTTTAGTTTTGTAACAGGTCAACAGGAAAGATGCCAGGCTGGGTCTGCTGGTCTGATTTCTGTAAGAAACGTGCATGCCTAGGAGAAAAGAAATATTTATTTATTTGTTTGTTTTAATTATGCTTCCCCTGTAACGAGGTTTCACTGTAATTTGTACTCATTTTTTTCTAACTTTGGTCCAAAAGGCTCATTTCCAAAGAAGAAACTGGACCCCTCAGGCGATGCTGTATCTAAAGGGTGCACGTACGTTTCCGCTTCATTTTCTCTTTAGAAGGGCAGGAGAGGGTGGAATGGCTCTCTGGGGGTGCTGTTGTAGTGCAGGGATGGTGAACCTTTTTGAGCCTGAGTGCCCAAACTGCAACACAAAATCAACTTATTAATTTCAAAGTCCCAACACTGCAATGAAAACCCGAATACCAAGGTTTTAAGTTTAGGAAAACAACAACAACAACTGCTCCTGCACTGCAAGGGTTAAATGCTTGTGTGTCCGTCCCCCCCCCCCAATGGGTGGTATTAACAAGTAAATACTTACCAGTCCTCCAATCCTCCATTGGGCTAGACTGGTAATGGTCGCCATTGCACCCCTCTGCTGGACCACTGCACCAGCAGAGGGGAGTGCCAAAATCTGGGATCAAAGGATGGGTAAGTATTTCTCGATGGCGACTTATGACTTGTGTGCCCACAGGGAGGGCTCTGTGTGCCAGCTGTGGCACGTGTGTCATAGGTTTGCCATCACTGTAATGTAGTGGAATTCTTTTTTTTTTCATGCCAACCCAGCAGAATAGGGTTCCACTGTTCACCTGCAGAATATGAGTCACCTTTACAGTTTGCTTTTCCTCTAATGAGCTCAAAATGGTGTACAAACTACTTATTCTCCCCACCTTCTTCACATACAACCCACCACAGTAGAGGTCAGGCAATGAGAGAGAGACCAAGACTGGCTCAAGGCTACTTAATGGCTGAAATCCTGTTGCTTAGTAAGGTGCACAAGAGTAAACCCATTGAAGCAGTGGGGATTTGGTAAGTCTGACTCAGGTGGGCCTGCTCTAGTTGCAACTTGCTTTAGCACCACCAGTCAGAATGAGAACTGGCTTATTTGAATCAATGGAAATTGTGGAGTTGACTCGCCAAATCCCCACTGATTCAATGGGCCTGCTCTAGTGCATCTTATTACACTAAGCAACAAGATTTCAGCCAAATCACTTCATGGTTCAATGGGGAACTTATCCTGGATTTTACATTCAGTGCACATCCTGGGCAAATAATATTCTTAAAAATATATGGTTATCCTGTAAGGCCAAGACAATGCACCAGGCTTTTAAGTTTTTTTAAAAAATTAATTGACATCCTACCCTTTCATGAAGCTGCTCAGAGTGGGATATGAAATCATGACTCTCTCCCATTATTGCCCTAATAACCTTGTAAGTTGTGGTAGCTATGATGAATGCAAAAATGTTTGTTTGAATTTCACGGCAGAGTGGGGTGTGGAAATCCCCCCCAGGTCTCCCTGATCCTGCATTCTAATGAAAGATACCACATTGGTTTCATCTTGGGAGAGGGGCATGAGTATGTTGGAGGACTCACAGAATCACAGAATAATGGAATTGGAAAGGGCCTATAAGGCCATTGAGTCCAATCCCCTGCTCCATGCAGGAATGCGTATCAAAGCAGATCTGACAGATGGTTATTTTTTTTCCTTGAATGCTTCCAGCGTTGGAGCACTCAACATTCTTGAATGCTTCCAGCATTGGAGCACTCAACATCTCATGAAGTAAATGGTTCCATTGTTGTACTGCTCTAACAGTTAAGATTTTTTCCCCTTGATACTCAGCTGAATTTTGGCTTCTTGTAGCTTGAGCCCACTGTTGCATGTCCTGCACTCAGGGATGATCAACAGATCATCTATATGACCACCTTTCAAGTATTTGGAAAGGGCTGTCAGATCTGTTCTCTTTTCCTCAAGGCTAAACATATATTCAAGTATTTGGAAAGGGCTGTCAGATCTCTTCTCCTTTCCTCAAGGCTAAACATATACAGTACAGTTCTTTCAGTCTTTCCAGTCACCTGATCATCCTTGTTGCTCTCCTCTGAACCTGTTTCAGTTCGTTGACATCCTTCTCCAGATGAGGCTTTACGAGTACCAAACAGATCTTATGTTTTTTCTCTACTTAGTCCTTCCCTGTTCCTCCTCTCCACCAGCCCACTGTAAATAAAGGAAATGGTTTTTATTCTTTCTCCACCTAACGTCTCCGAGGAAGTTATTGAAATTGTTAAGAGCCAGTTCATGAGAAAAAGGCGGGAACTATTCTGATTGTTAAGAGCCAGTTCATGAGAAAAAGGGGGGAACTGTTCTGGAGAACCTGAAGCGATTCTGTTCTGTGAATCCCTTCACTTCTTGTGTGCAACCAGAAGAATTTCATCAAAATTGTAACAGACTTTATGAGCTGTAGGGATGAAAATTCAGCCAGTGTTCCTCAGGATTGTATGTGTTGCCCAATGCTACACTGCCCGTTTCAATTCCATATTGTTGCGTTTCAGAGGGTCGCCGTTTCATCTCAGAAGAGAGCCAGAGAAAGGACCTGTACGACAGATTGCAGCTAGGTAAGTAGGCCTGGGACTCAAAAAAGGGATGCATGCACCCGTAAAGTCCTTACCCCAGGAGATGCCTGCTATTCTAAAATGGCGTCTTCTTCTAACATTTGTTAATGATATGTGTCCAGAGATTCTTCCTATTGTGAACCCTTCCTCACTTTGTATATAAATCTGACATTATTCCAGGATGTGGAAGAGGGTATTTTTACAAATTATGGATATCTTCACCTTCGGAAATAAGAGCATCCAAGGCTGAGAGACTCCCATGATTTAATTTTAAGAGAAATCAAAGCCCCTGCTTCCATTTCAGTACCCAAGCCCTCTCAACCTCTCTCAAAACAAAATTATGAAGTTGTGTGTTTGGCTTTTTTTATAAATTGGCCAACGTTGACCTTTTGCAGCCTATGGGGTAGCAGTTTGGGAATAATCCTTGGGCCCCTGCATCCACCCAGCCCGGAACTACTGTCATGTGCATCTCATACCATCCGCCTACAGAGACGGAGATGCTGATAGATTGCAGGGGATGGGGTGGCATGGAGGGAGAGGTCTTTGTTGTTGTTGTTTAGTCATTCAATCGTGTCCGACTCTTCGTGACCCCATGGACCAGAGCACGCCAGGCCTTCCTGTCTTCCACTGCCTCCCGGAGTTGGGTCAAATTCATATTGGTTGCTTCGATGACACTGTCCAACCATCTCGTCCTCTGTCGTCCCCTTCTCCTTTTGCCTTCACACTTTCCTAACATCGGGGTCTTTTCCAGGGAGTCCTTCTTTCTTCGAAACCCTGTCTACTTTTGGCCCTGGCTTCAACCACTGTTCCCTCTGACTCTGCCCATTACTTGCGTGCACCCTCTGAAAGAGAATCCCAAGAGAACACGGTCCTTCGCAGAAAAATGTTCCTCATCCAGCATTAAAATAACACATGCGAGGACTACAGGACTGCAGTATATTCAGTATATTCAGTATATGCAGTAGCCTCGTGGAGCAGTGGTTAAAACGCTGTACTGCAGCTAAAAAAAAAAATTCACTTTCCTAACATCAGGGTCTTTTCCAGGGAGTCCTTCTTTCTTCGAAACCCTATCTAGTTTTGGCCATGGCTTCAACCACTGTTCCCTCTGACTCTGCCTATTACCTGCGTGCACTCTCTGAAAGAGAATCCCAAGAGAACACGGTCCTTCACAGAAAAATGTTCCTCATCCAGCACTAAAATAACACATGCGAGGACTACAGTAGGACTGCAGTATATTCATTGGCCAAACTTCTGTTTGTTTAAACTTTACACTCACGAGTTCCAGGCAACCGATTTGAAAATTGATGGGCAAATGGCCACAACTTAAATATTGTTGTACTGCTCTGATGGTTAAGAATTTTCCCCCCTGATATTCAAACTAAATCTGGCTTCCTGTAGCTTGAGCCCATGGTTGTGTGTCCTGCACTCTGGGATGGTTGAGAACAGATCTTTCCCCTCCTCTGTACAACTACCTTTCATATCTTTGGAAAGTGCTATCTTATCTCCCCTCCATCTTCTTTCCTGAAGGCTAAACTTGCCCAGTTCTTTGAGTCTTACCTCGTAGGGCTTGGTTTCCAGTCTCCCAAGGTGAGTGCCCCTTGTCCGTTCACCGCAAGCAGCCATGGCAAGCTACGCCATCCATACGTAAAAACCCACTGAACAGCCATGGCAAGCTACGCCATCCATACGTGAAAACCCATTGAATTCTAGGTAAAGGTAAAGGTTCCCCTTGACATTTAGTCCAGTTGTGTCTGACTCTGGGGCGCAGTGCTCCTCCCCGTCTCTTGAATTCTAGCCTTAGTTAAATCTTCATTGAGGTGTTGGCTTATTACCTTTTGTTTCTAATATTCATGATCAGAAAATCATGTTTTGGGCTTTCTCCTTACAGAAACACGCAGTCAAAATGGGAACCCCCTAACCCTTTCTGAAGCCGCAGCACTGTTTCTCTCCTCCCTACGAAAGGCAGCACAAGAGGAAGGTAAAAATCACAACTGGTTCCAACAGTTCTTTTTACATTTGCTGCACATGGCAAAGCCATCGTGACTGCATGGTCTTTTTCAAAGTCTATTTACTGGGCAAGTTTATTCCACAAACTGGTTAATTATGAATTGTGGTATCTGAATGTTAGGGAGGCTGTAGCTGAATAGGTTGTAAAATCAAAGTGCCACTGCAGCAGTTAGTATATTCGAAAAGCAGCTGTTCGATTCTCACTCTAGTTTCCTGAGACAACATTTTAATTCATTATCCGACAAGGGTTTTTAACAGAACTACTTTTTCCTGGGATCCAGTACCACTGAACTCAGCTATGTTGCCTTAGTAATTCTGGGAGTTGTCGTATGAAAGCAGATCTCTGCACCCCTGCTTCTGAGTAGACAGGATGGCACAGCTACACCATTTGAGAAGAAGCTGGATTGGGATGGTTCTGTCAACATTTTAATTCATTATCCGACAAGGGTTTTTAACAGAACTACTTTTTCCTGGGATCCAGTACCACTGAACTCAGCTATGTTGCCTTAGTAATTCTGGGAGTTGTCGTATGAAAGCAGATCTCTGCACCCCTGCTTCTGAGTAGACAGGATGGCACAGCTACACCATTTGAGAAGAGGCTGGATTGGGATGGTTCTCTGAGGGAGAGGGACAAATAATCCCTGGAAGTTGTTGGTTTGCAACATCATTCACCATTCATGTACTGCTTCAATATCGGGAGCTCTATCTGCACCATCCCTGATTTAGTTTTAAAAATGTTGTAATTAGTACTTGAAGCAATGTGGACTTTATGGATTACTATGTTCTGTAGATCTGTCCATGGTTATGGACCTGTTAAAATATCAAGCTATAATTTCTTTAGTCAAGATACCCAATGTGGAGTAGTGGGTAGAGCGACAGACTAGAGGTCAGGAGACCTGGGTTCAAATTCCTGGTGGCCACATGCCAAAATAACTTTGGCTCCTTCTCATTTCAACATGGGGAGGGCTTGCCATTTCTCAAGGAGCAAAATATCTTGAGCTGGCCATTCATGAATGGTCTTGATCAGATTTGGGGGTGAGCAAACCTCAGAGATCTGGGGGCCACACATACCAATCTCTAGGTCTTGCCATTTAAAAAAATCCCTAAAAATTATATTTTTGAAACATGAGAAACCAGTTTTTCTCCCTCTAGTGGACAAAATTATACCTTTAAAAAAAGTGGACTCAAAATGGTGTTGGCAGGGCCTTGAGAAGATTGCAAGTTCCCCAGGCTTCTAAGAGAGCACAAGGGGATCCTGGAGTGATTTGCCCCACCAAAACCCTAATGTTGGGAAGGGGGGGGGGCAAACTGCAATGACCTAGAAATGCTTCATCCACATTCGGGCCCTGAGGGGAGGTCATAGGAATCCTGCAGGCCACCTCAGATTAGAGCTATAGTGAGCTCCCAAGGGAAGAATTCAATGCTCAGGAATTATTGCAAAGACGAAAAAAAGTGGACTCAAAATGGTGTTGGCAGGGCCTTGAGAAGATTGCAAGTTCCCCAGGCTTCTAAGAGAGCACAAGGGGATCCTGGGGTGATTTGCCCCACCAAACCCCTAATGTTGGAATGGGGGGGCAAACTTCGATGACCTTAGAAATGCTTCATCCACATTCGGGCCCTGAGGGGAGGTCATAGGAATCCTGCAGGCCACCTCAGATTAGAGCTATAGTGAGCTCCCAAGGGAAGAATTCAATGCTCAGGAAAAGACAAAAATAAAAGTCTTGCACGGACTTTGGAAAAGATACTTTTTTCAACGACAACTGCCAGAATTCCTGACCAAGCACAGCCCGTGCTTGTTTTGTGCGCAATTATGCAACACATACTTCACACTGAAAGTAGAAACCAGCAGAGATGGTTTCAAGCCATGGCACTCAATAGACTGCCAGAATTCCTGACCAAGCACAGCCTGTGCTTATTTTGTGTGCAGTTACGCAACACATACTTCACATGAAAGTAGAAACCAGCAGAGAGGGTTTCAAGCCATGGGACTCGATTTCAAGTCAGACTTAAGTCACACCGGCAACTCTACTTGGGTTGTTCTCACACACACACACCCCAATGCCTCGGACTGAACTCAGGACTCAGAACCTACCCATCCCTCCCTTTCTGCTGAGGGAAAAAAGCTTGTTTTCAAAAGGGAAATGGATTTGGGGCTTGAACCCAAAGAAATGAGCGACATCCCTGGAAACCAGAGCTGTAGCCTAAATGGACATGGTTGGGTTGGCCTGCAAATGGTTTTGGGTTTAAAGCTGAGGTGTGGTGGCAATGGTGATATATTGGTTTATTAGCTCTTTAAACCCTTTCTGGTAGCTGTCATGATTGCTGCTTCTGTTTGTTTTATCAGATGAGGAAGATACTGAGGAGAAACCTGGATACGTTGCTGACGGCCTCGTAAACTGGTGAAATGCTTTCGGGTTCAGAAGACAATTTTCTGCTTAAGAGGAGCGTATGTCCCACAGAAGCCGTTTCTTCCCATTTAGCTGTTTAGATTTCCTTCCTTAGGCAGCCCCTCTGTATCTTAACACAAATCAATGCTGAACAATTAAAGGCCATTGGAAATTTATCCTTACATTTATTATTGTTACGAAGAGCTTGAGCTTATAATGCATATCCTGGGTCTTCAATTTTTTTTTAAAAAAAATCATTATATTTACAAATGCGTCTGAGTCAAGGCTGTGGAAAGATTAATTATCATGCATGCCTAGGTGTTTGAGCTACTTCTGAGGTTACAAAAAGTGAAAAAAAATAGTTATAAAACAGTGTTTCTCCATCAGGAATGGATTCCGGGCTAGCTCCCCCTTGAGCTCTTTGTTTTCATTTTCAACAGCCAATTTTGAGTGATCTCAGAGTGTATTACATTGTCTTTCTAAACATGTACCAGTTTTATACAATTTTAATGGCCATGGTGTCTCCCAAAGAATGATGGGAAATGTAGTTTGACTTGGGCACTGAGAGTTCTGTATTAAGGAACCTTACGCTCTTTTAAGAAAACTATTCGTTCCCGATCTTCTCTGAGGTGAGAGAATGACTGTTATACCATTTTGCACATTTTGTTTCTTTCAATTTTCTTGTTCTTGATATTACGGATTTGGCCCACAAGAAAAGCTTTCAGCTCAGGAGTGATTAGCGTGACACCTCAATGAAGGCTGTAAGGATGTGACTCGTTTAATCAAAAATTTAATAAAATCTTTGGAAACAGCTGCATCTATTTCTTTGACCAGGTTGCAATCATCTTAAGCAGGACACTCAAACATGGATCAAAATAATTCAGATGTGAAAAGTATAGCTCAGATTATACATGATTTTTAAAAAAATCTGAGCCAGACCAGAAATGTGCAGGTTTTACTTGCTGATTTAGCTATAAAGCAGGGGTCTAACGTAATGTTTAGCTGGCTAGATAGCTCAGTTAGTTAGGTATCTGGCTGTAGATTGGGAGTATGATTCCCCACTATGCCTCCTATGAGTAGAGTCAGCCTATGTAGCCTTGGGTAAGCTGCACAGTCCCAGGGCACCCCCAGAAGGAAATAGTAAAGAGCTTTTGAATACTTTCTATGTAGAAAACGCTGAAAATGGTTGCCATATGTCAGAACTGACTCGACAGCATGCAATTATGATTAAGGTGACTTTTAACACGAGGCAGGCCCCTGCCTTAACTTCTCTGATAGTTTCAAAAGTTAACCCATCACTCCTACTTTGTCGCTGAAGCAGTAAAGTACATGTTCTTAGTTTGGCCTGGATTACAGACCCTATGAAGATGTGAAAAATGAAGAGTTAATGCAGATAAATCCCCTTTCCTTCTTGTATAAGAGGGTGGTTTGCCTTCATATTCTGCCTCTGGGCTTTCCAGAAGCCACTGATTATTTACGGTAGGATCTGAAGGGTCTAAAACAGCAAGGTCCTTGTGTCCCGTTGGACTGAAGTAGAGACTGGGCCACCCTCTTGTCAGGCATGGTGAACAGAGGTCTTTTCTATGATCTTGCACCAAGCTGCAGACTCCATTTTGATGGCTGCAGTCCTGCGGGTGCCCATGTGAACCCTGCCTAATTTACCATTGTTAAATTGCAGTCGTTGACAAAGTGTTGAGGCGCATCTCAGTTGGATAATTGGGAAAAACGACATGCGACAGAGATGCATCCCAGCACCTCATCCGTTGGCTGGATCAAGAAATACAAATATTATGCAAGCACCAACAGGATCCTGATCAAAAGTTTCCAAATCGAAATGTATGAGTCTGTTCCTCGATTATAAAAGAAAAAGATCGGCGTTCTTCAGATTTTCAGAAGGCAGCATGATCCTGAATAAGGGTACTCAGAAACAAGTCCTACTCGTTAGGCTTCCTTAGCCAGTGTACTTAGGACTCAGCCATCCTTCTGTAAGTCTTCTGAACACTTGAAGTCAAGGGTGGGTGACATCCTTATTATATAGCACTATCAATACAGCACTATTAATACAGTCAAAGACCTGTATCTTTAGTATTTCTGAGAGCAATCCCTCAGGTACGACACTGTGTCGCCAATGCAGCTTTGAGGCGGGAAAGTCGGGCTCCTGAAAGTTGAAACTTACAGAGGACTAAAATACCACAAATGTAAGCTAGATTTTGACTCCTACAAAATCTTCATCAGGGTAGGCATTACAGAGCTGAGGGTGGTCCAAAAGAAATGGAAAACTCCCCAAAATAATTCCCCTGACCATTGTTTTTTTTTTTTTTAAAAAAAAAACATTTCAAACATATTTAATTGTTCTTCTAACCTTCTGTTTGTCAATTCATACAGGAACCAAGAAGAGGTAATAGTGTATTATTTATTGGTCTGGACTCTGGACAAGCTTGGACTGTCAGAAACTGGACATAACCAATTAATGAAAAGATGTTTTGGTGAGCTCAGGGTGGTTTTATGTTTGGAACCAAAGCTGAGTAGTGTGAGAAAAAATAAGGGATTTCCCTTTAATTTTTAAACTTCTCCTCAGGAATTTCCCCTTCTGTAGCAGATTCTTCAAATGCTTCTAGATTATGGTTCAGTATTGGGCAAGTTGTAGAAAGAAAGCTTCTTAAACAGTTATTTGGACTGTGTTTTTTCATTTCTCGAATCCTCAGATATGGGCTGCTATAATCATTTCTAGATTATTGGTTGTTGTGGGTTTTTCGGGCTCTTTGACCGTGTTCTGAAGGTTGTTCTTCCTGACGTTTCGCCAGTCTCTGTGGCCGGCATCTTCAGAGGACAGGAGTCAGAACTCTGTCTGTGCTCAGGATCCTACTGGAGTTCTGACTCCTGTCCGCTGAAGATGCCGGCCACAGAGACTGGCGAAACGTCAGGAAAAACAACCTTCAGAACACAGCCAAATAGCCCAAAAACCCCACAACAGATCCCGGCCCTGAAAGCCTTTGAGAATATATTTCTAGATTGTTATAAGCATGCTGGCCGGATAGCAAAGTAGTTTAGGTATCTGGCTGCGGAACCAGAGGTTGGTAGTTCAATTCCCCAATATGGCTCCAAAGAGAACAGCCAGCCGATGTGGCCCTGGGCAAGCTAGACAGTTTGGCGCCACCCCAGAAGAAGAGAATGGTAAACCACTTCTGCACATCCTATACCTAGCAACCCCTGAAAAGGGTAGTCAGAAGTCAGAATTGACTTGACAGCATATGATGATGATGATGATAACAAGCAGCCTAAGATATAACTGGTTGGTATGTATCGATTTCTTAAGTTCATTCTCCACAACCTTCACCCTAATGTACTATCTATTCCCTTCCTGTCCCAGACTCTGCAGTCAACGATTTCCCTTTCCCCTACCCAAGTGTCTGCTTGGCTCCCTTCTGCCACCACAAGAGTGCTTTTCATTCATCAGGTCTGACACATCCTTTCCAAGTCTTGGCTTCTCGGCTTGTTTTTCCTTCTTCTGTTCCCTTGTGGCTTCAACAAAGTCTCCCATACATTCAGCCAACACATAAGAAGGCACTCCCTGGAGATAACATTGATCGGATCCACTCGCTAGACTCAAAATAATATTTTAGATTCGTGCAACGTAACATCTGAAATGTGTGAAAATTTGCCAAGTTACAAAGCAGTTTTAATTCCGATCCATAAAGATTCAGGTTGCAGTTCTGTACATGACTGCCTGGGAGCAAGTCTCAAGGAAACATTTCTGTTATACATTTATGGGCTCACACTTTAATTCCCCCCTTCCAACAACTTTTTTTTTTAAATTCAGCATGGAAGAACACACAGAAGAAAACTCAACTGCATTGTCAGAACACAATGGAAAAATTTCCACCCTGTCTGTGTACACAGCATGTTTTCTAAGGGCCTATATAAATGATAATGATGTACCATCAAGTTGATAAACAATGCATTAAAAGCAAAGTTGCTTAACTAAAGAGACAGAAATAAAATCCTCCTTATGTGATTGGGGAAGTCTGCGGGGGGAGGAAAACTAGTAGTATATATCATTTCTGCTTGACATGGCCATGTGTTGCATTTGTGTTTGCTTCTTTATATATTCTAACTTTTTTTAAAAAAAAATAGCGAGATTTATAATATATCAGAGCACTACTGTGTCTGTCAGATCTCAAGGAAATAAAAAATTTTCAGATTTGGGTCTGGGCCTTTCGCCAGCTTTAAAATTTTACATTAGAAGTACATAAAGATAACCTGATGTTACTGACATGCAGACAACAAAATCAAAATATTTCAGAATTGAGTCTGGGCCTTCGGCCAGCTTTAAAATTTTACATTAGAAGTACATAAAGATAACCTGACATGCAGACGGCAAAATCAAAATTGGGAAGGGATCCCTACACCAGGTAGTTGAAATGACATCCTGAATATAATTACAGTAGGACCCCCTGTATCCATGGGGGATTTTCCCCAAGCTGCCTGTAGAATGTGGATTATAGAGTACAGTACACTGTTATACCGTGTTTTCCCAAAAATAAGACAGGGTCTTATATTAATTTTTTGCTCCAAAAAACGTATTAGGGCCAATTTTCAGGGGAGGTTTTATTTTTTTCATGTACAACCATCTACATTTATTCAAATACAGTCATGCCATCTTCTGGTTGCTGCACAAGGGTGGAGGGCAGAGTTTCACTGAACTGGATACTAATCCCGCAGATAAGAGGGTCCTACTGTATTTTGAAATCTAGGGTTTTTTGGCCTGCTGGTTTAAGTCTAGCTGACAATGTTGGCTAGCACTGTGAGAGATGCTTAAACCAGTTTGGGATTATTTTTAGTGACAGACAAGATTTATTTGCTGACAGAGTAAGAGCTGGGCTTACTTGTAACAATGAGCAGGGTCCTACTGTATTTTGAAATCTAGGGTTTTTTGGCCTGCTGGTTTAAGTCTAGCTGACAATGTTGGCTAGCACTGCGAGAGATGCTTAAACCAGTGTGGGATTATTTTTAGTGATAGACAAGAAGATTTATTTGCTGACAGAGTAAGAGGTGGGCTTACTTGTATTTATACAATGAGCAGCAGGCATTGCAGTAACTCTGAAGTCAACGATTTTCTTTCCTTTTAAGCCTGCAGATCATCCAACATTTTGTTCCTTCCTCGGCTGGCGAGGTATTAGATTTAGAGCTACAAACACAAAAGCCAGCATTCAGCCCTAATGTTGGATATGCTCTTCTAAATCTCTTTTCTATTTCCAAAAAGGGGGAGAGAGAAAAAAAATGCAACATCAGAACTATTTATAATGGTGAGGGACAGGATTTCATGATATTTCAGGGGCTGGGCTCAATAGCATGCAGTTAACACTCTCCTTTATGTCACACCGTAACTTGTTCAAAGCGACCAGTGTCTATCTGAATGAATGGCGCCCATGAGAGGCCATGAGCAAAGGAATACTTCATCAATTCCTGTATTCTCCGTGCATTTTTTTCCTATGTGGCACTGCGCTGAAAGAGAAAGGGGACTTTATGTTCTCCTGATCCCTCTTGGCTTCTTCCTCCTCATCATATCTTTCGTCGTCTTCTTCAACTTCCTCGTCACTTTGGTGGGGGCTGTTGTGCTGAGAAATGGAGGGTGACGGGGGTACCGAGGAAGGGCGGGGATATCGAAATCCCTCTGTCTGCAAGAGCAAGGAAAGCAGGAAATAAATAACACTGGACTTGGGATCCTTGATCGAGAAGCCCTCATTTTTTATGGTGTTAAACCTTAGCAACATCTGCTAGCAGCTGAAGCTCCTACGGAAGGCCCAGTGATGGCTTGGTGCCGTGTCAAAGCAGCAGCCCTTCCCATCACCGCTGGCACCTTCTCCCTTCCCTGAGTGTCAAAGCTGTACGAGTCGGGAGTGGACCCACAGCTGTGGAACCAAATCTGGGCTCAGATCTCATGGATGCATAGAAAATCACCAAAGTCAAGATAATTTGTTTCTCAGACGAGATCCCAAAGCAAGGAGATCTGGGTGGAGGAGGACAGTCGAGAGGCAGAGAAGAGCCCACAAACTCCATGATCTTGGAAGTGAAAGTTCCTGGATCTAGTCCTGGAAGCGTCTGGGGCAATAGGCAGAGCTTGGAAAGGTTCAGCTCCAAGAATGCCCGGATTCTAACACCGGGAACTCTTGGGCAACAGGAACAGTTTGAGAATTTTGCTTTTTTGGGGGGGGGAATAGAACTCCCATGGCCATGATGATAGCTGATTAAGTTGGGGAACTGTACTAGCCACCCCTCCCAAATTTCTTCCAAGCCCCAGTCAGTGAGTTTGCATCCTAGTCCCTTGGTACCAGAGTCATTCGTAAGAAAGCAAAATCAGCTGGACTCAGTGTTAGTCCGCAGCACCGGGGGGGTGGGGAGATGATTATAGCCTGCTTAAGTAGGGTATGGAAGGATAATAAGGACCTTCCTTTGGCAGGAAAGATCAGAGACGCAGCACGCCAAACACACAAACAAGATTTAGAATTCATTTACCTTCGGAGGAGCGTTGGGCTCCATCTCAAACTTTTCAGGAAAGGTACGACTAAGAGCCAGGTGCCTGGCATGCATGTAATACTGGAAGAGGAGAAAGAGAGAGAGATCTTAAAACAAGAATGGGCTCCATAATGGGCATCAAGAGAAAAGCAACTAATCTCTGTTCTCAGAGAAGAGAACATTGAAAGGCCAAACTTCCCTGTTGTTCCTTTTTTGACTAATTTGTGACCCTCCAAGAATCAGCCACCTTGTGGCCACCAGGTCCTTTCATGCACATAAACAGACCTCCACGTTTTGTATTTCTAGGCAGTGGAGCCTTACATCTCCTTACCTGTGAGGAAGCCCCTCTGAACTCAGTAGGACTTTCTTCCAAGCAGACATACAGTATTTTTCCATGTATAAGACTATACTTTTGACTAAAATCTTTAGACTAAAAATTGAGGGTCGTCTTATACATGAAAGTAAGCTGAGGAGACAATAAAAACAAGTGGAGGGGAAAGCAGGGATCAAAGCGATCCTGCAGCGCTTTGATCCCTTTCCCCCCTACACTTGCTAAGCCCTATTTAGATTTCTTAATTTTGGATTAGAAAAGTGGGGGCTCTTATACATGCAGGCATCTTATACATGGAAAAATATCATACATAAAATTGCACTGTTAATGGAATCATCCTTGTACCACCTCAAATTCCAAGTTCAAGAACTGTCCTGGTACATAAATTCTGGAGAGAGCCGACGATCAAGGTGAGACAACAGAAGGCCAGATGGGAAGGTGACAGCTATTGAGGTGAGGAATGACTGGCATCAGAATAATCTACCTCTTTATGAACAGATCTATCTTGCATCCATCATATGGTTAGAATGTAGGCCTAATAAATACGTAAATAGAAAAAACAACAACAAAGATTTACTTATGATTATATCATAGATTACTGTTTACAGAAATCTCCAGCAGCTTCTTGGAAAACAATGTAAAGGCATGGTGAGCTGGATGTGCCTAAAATAGTTTGAACGTACCCTGCCTAGATATCTCCAGTCCAGCAAGTCCGAGAGCCTCTCGGTTCGGTTCCTCTGAACAATCCTTTGCCGCCGTGATTGCTGGCAGAATCCATACAGGAACTGTGTCAACTGATTGCAAGACTCATCTGGGGAGCGGAACCGCCTGTCCACAATGTAAATACCTGTAGGAGACAAACCAGGTTGGAAGGAAGAAAGGCGACGTGGGTGCTCTTTTGAAGGCTTCTGATGCATCCGTCGCTCTGTGTAATGACCTTTTAAAAATCCTGTTTCTCATAAAGCAGACATTAATAATTTGTTTAGTCAATTTGTATTCTCTGGCTCCTCCTCCTCCTCATTTTTTTAAAAAAAACAGAACAGGAACTCTGAGCAGCTTGTAAAGTTTGCGTTACATCAGCCGGATCCTTAAAGTTATGGGAAAATGTCGGAAAATCACAGCACATGCAAACGAGCACAAATTTCACTTCATCTGCCAGTCCTCTGACTCCTTTTATAGACCACAAACCTGTAAATACGTTTGGAATTGTTGTTACGTTTCTCATCTGCTCTTTTCTGTTTTGAGTTTTTGTATTAAATGATTTTAAGTAACCTTGTGTACCTTTCTGAGAGCTGATGCATAGGTTCAGGTGGTTTTATAAGTCATCTAAACAAAAATGCCTAATGTTTATGTTCTGATCACAAAACAAAGGGCTCATTCTGACGGTTGTTGGTTTCCCTGTTTGGTTCGCTCTGTTTTCCGGCAACCCAAGAGGTTTTGCTGCCTGAGGCGAAGGGACAAGACGGTTCCCATCCTCGTTTCTGGCAGAGAAGGCAACTGGACTGGCAATTAACAGAGATTCTCCACAACACCAGAGGCAGCTGGCTGGTTTAGTGAACCAGGAAATCTCCACCATGGACAGAGCAGGGGGCTGGAAACTGTTTGGTTCGCTCTGTTTTCCGGCAACCCAAGAGGTTTTGCTGCCTGAGGCGAAGGGACAAGACGGTTCCCATCCTCGTTTCTGGCAGAGAAGGCAACTGGACTGGCAATTAACAGAGATTCTCCACAACACCAGAGGCAGCTGGCTGGTTTAGTGAACCAGGAAATCTCCACCATGGACAGAGCAGGGGGCTGGGAAATGCATGCATGCATGCAACCAACCAACCAACCAACCAACCAACCAAACCAACCAACCAACCAACATTCCTTGTGCTTCTGCAGTTCCCCAGCATCTTCCAGCTGTGGCCTCACTCTGTCCGGTGGTAGGAGCCAATGGGTTACATCACAGTTCCCAGTACTGCGCTAGTCACAGGGTCACTCAATGCAATAAAACTAAGTGTAAGCCCTCCGTTCTTATGTAGAGAGCAATGACACTAAAGGAGCAGTAGCTGAACGGGAAGAACAAGAGAGAGGAAGAAACACCACTTCCTATGTGGGACCGCTCTTCATTTTAGATCCATCACTTGGGAAAAGCTCTCACTGTTGTAAGAGACTGAAAGGGAATTTCATTGTCCTCTCCTGGTTTGGCCCAATTTGTCAGGCTGGCCGTGTTCTTTAAGTTGAAGCAGAGCAAGACATTTTATTCTGAATGGTGCAACTATAAAGATCTGCAGGATATCATCACCTATCCCTCTGTCTCTGCTTTTCTGCAAATATACAGCAAAGCTTTTCAGAAGATCACATACAGAACTCTGATTTCACCACACAAGCTCCCAAACACCATGTATGTCATAGCGCAACACGAGATACCCTGTTTCCCTGAAAATAAGACCTAACCTGAAAATAAGCCCTAGTATGATTTTTCAGGCTGCTTGTAATATAAGACCTACTCCAAAAATAAGTCCCAGTTAAGTGAAACCCTGCCCTCCACCCTTGTGCAGCAACAAGATGCCTATAAAATAAAACATCCCCTGAAAATAAGCCCTAGTGCGTTTTTTAGAGCAAAAATTAATATAGGACTCTGTCTTATTTTCGGGAAAACATGATAGAATCATATATGGTCCGTTTCGGAGGGATTTAGCACATTTGTTAGATTTAAAATACCAGTGACTACTGCCTCGTTGCATAGATAATTGAAATGAAAAGAAAGTTGGTTGCCAACATCCTTAGCTTCTCGAAGATCAAAGAAGTACAATGTTTTTTGCACATATAGTGCAAACCACTGTGGAAAATGAAGTGGTATTCATTTCTTGGGAAAACCTGACAAGCTGCCGCAGCCTGTTGAGACTGCCTGCTGCCTCACCACAAATGAGGCCTGAAGAGCCCCATGGTGTAGTGGTTAAACTGCTGTCAAGCCTCTGCTCACAACCTGAGTTCAATCACAACGGAAGGTTCAGGTAGCCTGCTCAAGACTGACTCAGCCTTCCATCCTTCCGAGGTCAATAAAAGGAGCACCCACCTTGATGGAAAGAAGGCAATGTTTTTTACATAATTATGTTGTAAACCAACCCAGAGAGGAGTAGTATATAAGCTGAAACAACAACAACAGCAACAGCAACAACAACGGCAATATGTCTTCACATCCCTACATGACACCCTATGAAATAAACTGATGTACCTGCTCCACAAAAACCAGCTATGAATGTATTCATTCTCGGGCTCACTGCTGAACGTTCTTACCGTAAGCAGCGGGGTCGGCCACATGCTCCTGCATGAAGCAGCCAAATCCAGAGAGGTTTGTGGTCACACTGGGAATCCCCATAACAGTACACTCAGCTGCCAAAAAAGGTTACAAGGGTGAGGAGGGCATTGCATAAAATTGCAGAGACTCAACAGAAGCAGGTGATGCGTAGGCCATATTATTACGGCATAATGGTTTCATTCATTGATTTGGTAACTGATGCTGGTTTTGCACATCGTTCTGTGTGTCAGGAAGGTAGAGTCAGGTTCAAACCAGGTGATACAACTATCAGTTTTTGGCAGAGGTGCATGTCCAAGGAGTAAAAAAACAACAATACACAACTAAGTGTGCTACTGCAGGAAGTGAGTGTCAACTACGTATCTTGCATTTAGCACATTTTCAGACCGGAAACTGGAAGACAGGCAGTAAATTAATCTGCAAGTCCGACTGCATTTCCCAACTTACTGCCTTCCAGATGGTTTGGATTTCAACTCTCACTGGCCTAGTCAACCACTGCCTTCCAGATGGTTTGGATTTCAACTAGCCCAGTCAACTGAGTTGGAATGCAAACATGTTTGGAAACTGGATATTGATTGGAGAAGACGGATAACTGGCTGAACCAAGTAGAAGCTTCACCTGGCAAAGCTGTTATTTTACAGGCACATGAATGGGGAGACATCATTTATTTATAATGAGGCAAAATCCAATTGTGAATCCCAACAGACTCAATCGATAGGACTTTTTAAATCAATATATTAAAAACCTTTTGATTTTACTCTAGTTGGGACTAACCACTGAATTTAGCTTATTGGGAACAATTACTGGCAGATATACCCTCCCTTGCAGTTTACCAGAACTGGCGACTTAAAGGGACCCACAGATCATGTTACATATAAGGTTCACTATTATCCATGGTTTTCAGTATCTGCAGGAAGGGGGACTTGGAACAATTTACCTGGTAAAAGCCAGGTAAATTGATCAGTTGCTTACCAGGAGTGTAGCCCCAAGGCTCATAATATGACGGGAACACCCCGAGATGGCAACCTCTAACGAATTCTTCATAGTCCATTGGTAATAATGGGCTTGTTGAAGAAAGGAATTCAGGATGCAGAATCACCTGTATGATGATTGAAGAAGGAGGGGAGAAGGAAAATAAAATCCACTTGACCCTTTCTGCCCCCTCCTGGCAAGTTGCTGAAGGTCTTTCTTGCAGAATATGAAAAAGACTTATCTTGAGTTGACCAAGAAGAAAAGACATAAAAATGATGTAGTGAAAATGGAAGTGGAGCATATTTTAGCTGATGATTAGGAGAACTGTGGAACAGATAGCCACAAGAGGTGGTAGATTTCCCCTGTCTGGAAGAATTTACACAGCATCAGTTGGCTACTGAACATGCTGGTAGCTGCATCCTCCATTGCAGATCCTGCACTGAGTGAGTATCCGTAAGAGGTGATCTCCATCAGACTTGTGTCATTTTATGATCTAATTACTATGTTGTATCTCGGTGGCAGAGCATGTCTTGAATTCAGTCTCTCGCAACTCCAGTGAACAGATACTTGTATCTGTTTACTACATGTACAGTATGGCAGAGCATGTCTTGAATTCAGTCTCTCACATCTCCAGTGAACAGATACTTGTTGTATCTATTTACTATATGTACAGTAGTGCCTCGCTTAACGAGCGCCCCATTTAACAACAAATCCACATAGCGATGAGGTTTTTGCGTTTCACTTACCGATTACCGCATAACGATGTTTTAAAAACAGCTGATCGGCGGTTCCAAAATAGCCGCCGGAAAAAAATGGCTGCCCACAGTGTTTTCGCACCCTTTCCTCGCTTACCGGGCAGCGAAAATGGCGGCCGGATGGAGGATTTCCGCATAGCGGTGAGTTTTTCCCCCATAGGAACGCATTAAACGTGTTTTAATGCATTCCTATGGGTTTTTTTCCCCCCGCATAGAGACGAATCCGGATAGTGATGATTTTTTCAGCACAGATTATCGTCGCTATGCGGGGCACCACTGTATATCTCCCGTTTGTACCAAGGAGCCTGAAGCTATATCGTCGCTATGCGGGGCACCACAGTATATCTCCCGTTTGCAAGGAGCCTGAAGCTGTGTACCTAGTTCTCTTATTCCCCGGTTCATCCTCACATCAGCCCTCGTGAGAAGGTGACCTTGGCAGACAATGACTGGCCCAAAGTCACTCTATGAGTTTCAAGGCTCACAGTAGACTAGAAGCTGAAGCCCAGGTGTGGATCAACCATAATCAACTCTTATAACCATGGGTATCTCTTGGCCACTCCAGGAAAGACGGTCGGTAAAGCCAGAACATTTGGACAGATGAATCAGTGGCCTAATGCAGTTCAGGTACCTTCCTATTTCCCTCTCTAAAAAGAATATGTCACACTCTCCTTATACAAGCTGACCAATTACAGATTGCTCTTGAAGACACATCCAATTTTTTTTAAAAGGAAAGGATCTATGAAAGCAAACACTGAGGTTTTTTACCTTAACTCGGTCTGTCCTACTGTTGAAAAGGCCGATGCGTCTAATGGTACTTAGGATCGGATCGTTGGAATCATCGATCATGTTGTGGGTGGTGACTGGCGGAAGGGTCTGTCGCTGCAATGAGGCAATTCAGAGGTTCTTTGCAAACAAAAATTACAGAGATATACGTACTGTATGCAAAGCCAGTGGGGGTCGTTGCGATGGCAAGAAGGGCCTTCTCTGTAGAGATACTCCTCAATAAAGAACTTCTGTAATTTCTGACTGTGAATCAGTAGATGTTTGGAGGAGATGGTCTAAAACATCTATACTCAGCCTGTTAGAATGAGGAATATACTGTACTTTTAATAGCTTTACTTTTTATTAGCTACTATGATTTATGCAGCTTCAAGGTTTTTTTAAAATGTCAGGATATATTTGTTTTTTTAGTATGTTTTTTTTTTCTCAACTTGCATTTTGCTTGTTTGTTTTGTGTTTAAAATCTCACTGAAGGCCTTACCGGATCATTCAGAAGTTTTTTGTTTTTTTAAAAAAGACATCTATAACAGTCACAAATTCTGTTACTAATTTTTCTGTTGTGATCAGTTGTGCCTTGGTTTTTTTTTCAATTTGCCTGCTGCATTTGGATTGCAAAACATTCAAAAGCCGATTACCGTATTTTTCCATGTGTAAGACTATACTTTTGTCTAAAATCTTTCGAATAAAAATTTAGGGTTGTCTTATACACGGAAGTTAGCTGAGGAGAGAACAAAAATAAGTGGAAGGGAAAGCAGGGATCAAAGTGATCCCGCAGGGCTTTGATCCCTTTCCCCCTACACTTGCTAAGTCCCACTTAGATTTCTTACTTTTAGGTTAGAAAAGTGGGGGGCGTCTTATACATGGGGGTGTCTTATACACAGAAAAATATGGTATTTTAAAAGTAGTACACTTCAGTTTACTGTATCATTGTGCATTAAGCACACAAGTGAAAACTAAGGAAGATGTTGAATTATTTATTATGATGATTAGTAGAATTCTGACCCATTTTTCCCATTTTATTTTCAAAACATCTGTTTTTATTAATGCAATTTTATGCATGGATGCCTACCCATAAGTAATTCCCATTAACTTCAAAGCAGAAGTTCTGCTTTTGATCTCTTGATTATAGCTGCAACATGCATTTTACAGCTAACTGTGTTATAATAAAAATAAGCTTAGAACGGCAGTGCTGGAAGAGATTCAGCCCCTGTCAAGGAGGCATAGTGGGGAATCAAACTCCCAACCCCGAGATGCTTATACCACCAGCAGTTCATCTACTTAAACCTACTCATGGACTATACCACTTAAGGTTCCAGGGGGTAGCTTGTTCTCTCTGCAACCAATTATCTCTGCAACCAATGAACAAACAAAACCCCACCCAAAGACAAACAGGTGCTAGAACTGTTTCCTTTATGATGATTAGTAGAATTCTGACCCATTAATAAAAACATCCTTCTTGGACCTCAGTGGAAGGAACTTTTTTTGGGGGGGGGGGAAGACATGTAGTCAAAAACGTTACAATTGAGACACAAGATTATTGGATTAAGTATTAAATTTATCCAAACAGTTTATCCTTTCCACATACAGTGGACCCTCGACTTATGAAGGTCCGTACTTATGAAAATTCCGAGGTACAAAAAGCTCCGGCCGCAAAATTTTGGTTCAACTTGTGGCCGGAGCTTCGACCTATGAAAGGCAGGGGGAAAGGGGGGGAAATTCAAAGCCGCCCCTGTTGCCCTCTGCCTCCCGTCCCTGCTGTGGGGATAGGAGGCAGAATGCAGTGGCGGCAGCTTTGGAAGCCTGGGAAGCTGAAAGCCGCTCCGCGCCTGCTGCCGGCTTTCAGCTTCCCGGGCTTCAGAACCCCCTCCGCTGCCCTCTGTCTCCCATTGCCCGTGGCTGGCTTTCAGCTTCCCGGGCTTCAGAACCCCCTCCGCTGCCCTCTGTCTCCCGTTGCCCGTGGCTGGCTTTTGGCTTCCCAGGCTTCAGAACCCCTCCGCTGCCCTCTGAAGACAGAGGGCACCAGGGATGGGAGACAGAGGGCAATGGGTGCAGCTTTGGAAACCTGGAATTTTTTTTCTTTGCCTGGAACGGATTAAATGGTTTTCAATGCATTCCTATGGGAAATGGACCCTCGACCTACAAACTTTTCAACCTGCGACCTCCGTTCCAATACAGATTAATTCCGTAAGTCGAGGGTCCATTGTAGTTCTTTTAAAAAGATAGTAGGAAGAACGGAGAACCATGCCTCTAACCTGGGTTGAATAGATGGCTCGTTTTATAATGGTTAGGTCATCGCGGTCTATGATCTTGTTCATATCAGGGATTTCTCCTCTGTGGAAGCAAAAGCATAAGCCTTTTAGTATACAAGGAAGATGTTTCCCAAAAGGTAACGGACATGGCACGGGCCTGGCGTGCTCTGGTCCATGGGGTCACGAAGAGTCGGACACGACTAAACGACTGAACACACATGGCACGTCAAAGCCTGACTTTTCTCTGGCCTGCATTACTGGCACCGGGTGTACAAATGAACCCATGGAGCCCGATGGAGTTAAGTGGCAAATCCCAAGCAAGGTGATATTTCCTCAATTATACTGTAATTCTAGACTATAAGTGGTTCCCAACCCTGGGTCCCCAGATGTCCTCCCAGAAATCCTAGTCAGGACAGCTGGAGATGAAGGCTTCTGGGAGTTGTAGTCCAAGAGCATCTGAGGACCCAAGGTTGGAAACCATTCTTCTAGATAGATACTAAGAGTGCATCCAGGTAAGCTTTTAATTTGCAATGGCCTGTCTCGCTCACGGGGACGTGGTGGCGCTGCGGGCTAAACCGCAGAAGCCTGTGCTGCAGGGTCAGAAGACCAAGCAGTCATTAGATCGAATCCACGTGACGGAGTGAGCGCCTGTCGCTTGCCCCAGCTCCTGCCAACCTAGCGGTTCGAAAGCATGCAAATCCAAGTAGATAAATAGGGACCACTTCGGTGGGAAGGTAACAGCGTTCTGTGTCTAAGTCGCACTGGCCACGTGACCACGGAAGATTGTCTTCGGACAAACGCTGGCTCTATGGCTTGGAAACGGGGATGAGCACCGCCCCCTAGAGTCGAACACGACTGGACAAAAATTGTCAAGGGGAACCTTTACCTTTACCTTTACCTTTACCTGTCTCACTCACAGAATTTTACATGGTACCCAGATAACATCTACAATCTGTAATCTTCCCATGTTTGCCCGTTGCTTCTTCCACCCCTTTTTTCTTATTACACCAAATCAATGAGCAAAAAATGAAGTCACTGTATTTTGACCAGCAATGCTAGGAACCATCTGTCAAGAGGCAGCTAAGTCCTGTGAACTCAGTTGTGCTGATTGGGTGGAGATGGTATTGTGGTGGTGATGTTCAGCCTTTCACATCACGTTCAGACCCCACTGGCTTTAAAGATCCAGTTTTGGCACCTGTGGCCCAAGAGGCCACTGAGGATGCCCTAGAATGAGAGGCTGATACGCCATCTCTACGGGTGATATTCAGATCTGACTACTGTAACACACTATATGTGGGTCTGTCCTTGGAGACAGTGATGACTAACAGGAACGTGGTGCTAGAACCCTATACTCTACTTTTACAATGAAAAATTGACTGGTTCCTAGTCCATTTCTGAACAAAACTGGGAAGTTTTCTTTTAAAGCACTGCACAACTTAGACCGGAGTACCTAGGAGGACATCCTAATCATCTGTATAATCCCTAAAACTTTGGGTGTGTCTTCAGGTACCCTTACTTCCTGAGGTAATACTGGTGCGACCAGGAACGTACGCTTCTTAGTTGTGGCACCTTGTCTTTGAAATGCTCGCCTCAGGGAGGCTGGCTAGGTCCTAATGTTAGCAGCTTTGTTTCAGATACAGTGGTGCCTCGCTTAACGAGTGCACCGTATCGCGATGTTTCCGTATAGCGATCCCTTTTTCGGGATCGCTATACGGAAACAATCCCTAAAACTTTGGGTGTGTCTTCAGGTACCCTTACTTCCTGAGGTAATACTGGTGTGACCAGGAACGTACCCTTCTTAGTTGTGGCACCTTGTCTTTGAAACGCTCGCCTCAGGGAGGCTGACTAGGTCCTAATGTTAGTAGCTTACAATCGGTTTCCAGGGGCTCCCCAAAGTTTCAGACTGCTAGCCCTACCTCTGAGAGGCCAAGATTTGAACCTGGGGCCTTTTGTTTGGCAACCATCAGTTCTGCTCTGGAATGCTAACATCATCTTAGCACTTGGCGAATGAGTTTTGCAATTCTACCCAGGCTGTTAAAAGCTTTGGTGTTTTTTTTAAATCTTGAAGACATTTTACCTGCTATTTTATTTGACTAATTTGGCTGTTGTTTTAAAAGCAGGTTTCTGTTGTTTTCAGTCTCGTACTTTAAATGGGAAGCGCTTGTGTGTTAAAATGGGGGATACGTATACTGAGAGAAAATACCAAAATGTTTATTGCATGCACAATAACCTATGAGGACAACTGTGTTCAGCGGCACCTTCCCCAAATCCAATGCTATTTACACAAGGCTCTTTTGGAAAAAAAATTACAAATCATGTAGTCAGCTTAAATAGGTGTGTAAGCAAGCATTATACTACGGGAACACCTAAAAATCTACAGTGACTTGCATTTACAGAAATCGAATCCTAGGTAAACATTGGGCCATTGGAAGCTCTCAGGACTCCGTCACGGGGTGTACATACATAATTGTATGAATTCAGTGGAGCTGCTGTTTACCTTGAATATCACAGGCAACAAAGCGCAAAGTCAAATACATAAGTCTATACATAAATATGGGAAACCTGATCACTCACCTTAATAGGGCTTCATAGAGTTTTTTACCAAACTTTTCCTTCACAGAGTGTGCCGTGTCCCTAGGAAAGAACAAAAAAGAAAACTTTGCTGAGGTATGTTTATTCTGTTGTTATTTAGTTGTTAAGTCATGTCTGACTCTTTGTGACCCCATGGACCAGAGCACACCAGGCCCTCCTGTCTTCC